AAAGAGAGAGATATTGGACCCCTCACTATGGCACGTCGGAGAGACTTATACTGCTATTCGGAAGTCCGTAATGACATTGAAAGATAGAAAACCTGGCGAAGCCGCGGGGCTTACTGCAAGCTGCGAGTTACTGATGAAAGATCTTGACCCACGAATATGTCATGTTCCCATGCGGGCGTGGACGGAATGGACCCCCCGGGTCGTTCCGAGCGACCTACGTCTCTCCGCCATTGTCAACAACCTAATCGAGGGAATGGAGGATGACGATGAAGATGCCTACGATGGCCCAGACATTGTTCCGTTGGCGTGGCTGGTTCCAGATCCTTATCTTGACGTGCACATGATTGCAATTGCTGCCAACAACACGCTAGTAGAAGACGATGATGCTTTCTTGGACGAAATGTATTGGGGTGGTCGCAGGCTTGAAATCGCTGACCAGCACAATGGTGGGCCAATATCGAGAAGCAGGGAACGGCCTTTCTCCGCTGATGATCGGAAGAACGCCGATTCTGCCAAGAGACCAGCCCAAACAACAGTGGATCCTGCAGAGTCATCGTCACACTCCCGGCGAACAATGATAATAGAGGAACCGGAACATGTTGCGGCTGGTTCTGGGTGGCGGCTGGTGGGTGCCCCACATGGATTCTGTGATGGAAGTGCCCAGTCTCGTTGCCGGCGTACAAGCCACAATCCGTGCTTGCTGGCAAATTTCAATCATTTCAAGGGCAGTATCATGGGGACGGTCAAGACTGGCTGGCTAAAATTCCTTGTTGCGGGAGTCCACCACGGTATTGTGCTGGCTCGTTTGGAGTTTGGCCACATGAAGCTCCCTGATGACTTTGTGTTTGACTTGTCCGTCAACGGACAAGTCAAGTCGTACAAGCCGGAAGAATTGAGTGCTTGGAGTACAACTATTGTGGATGGCTTGACCGTATATCCCCTTGTTCTGGAAAGCAAGTTTCCATCTGAAAAATCCCCAGGCCTACCGGATTCGTACGACGTTGCGATACGGATACAAAGTCAGCAGAATCCAAACTCCCAAGTGCGAATATCCCACGTATACTTTGCCTAACTGGCAGCTTGAAGGATATCTGCTTCTCTCGAACTCGCTCTCGTGTTGCCATTGACGTTGGCAAGTGGCTGGTGTACCAGATACAGTACGTGTCGGTCGAATGCGTCCACGTCGGCGTCGTTCGTTCCTTGCGGTACTGGGTACCAGTAGCTATCTTGAGCCTCACTTGCATGATCGTTCGAGCACCGCTCTCGGCTGCTTCTCCCGAAATGTTTGTCTTCTTGAAGCGACGCACCCTACTCTTTCCTTTCCACTTCCTTGGACCCTGTGAATCCCAGTTGCAACCATACACACTTCGTTTGCCATGATTAAGATGAACTGTGATCAAAGTCCCAGCAACGATACCCCATCAATCGTTCGTCCCGGTGCGATCGTGTCAAACTTTGATGGTGTTGCTGCTTGGACTACCCCCGTTTGTTTGCGTCAAGGGCGACTTGCACTTCAATAGCGACTTCAAAGCTACTTCAATAGTGACTTCAATAGATAGCTACTGGTACATTATTAATACTAAACGAAACTTTGAAGATTGAGTGATCAACCTACGTCGCGGTTGAGTGGAACAGTGGAACGTTGTTTTCTACGATGTCATGTAGAGGATCGCCCAACCGAAGCCAATCACGAGTTCTCAGTCACGTAATTGGATATGCTTAACCTTACCGTAGATAATAACTTAGCGCGATCTTTGAGAACCGTCGCCACCCAAAGAAAAGGACACCGGAGGTGTAATAGATATACCGGGCGAGCTGAATTAAAAGATGGGCCGGCATAATAATATTGTTAAAGTTTGGCTGAAGGTAGTGTCATTCGATTTTTCCGTCTGAGAAAGTGGTGTGGTAGCTTACGGGAGTTTAGAGGTGTGCAACATGAGACGTTAGATTTTTCCATCTGAGAAAATGGCGTGGTAGCTTACGGGAGTTTAGAGGCGTGCAACGTGAGACGTAAGATTTTCCGTCTGAGAAAGTGGCGTGGTAGCTTACGGGAGTTTAGAGGTGTGCAACGTGAGACGTAAGATTTTCCATCTGAGAAAGAGGCATGGTAGCTTATAAGAGTTTAGAGGTGTGCAAGGCCAGTCATTAGATTTTTCCATCTGAGAAAGTGGCGTGGTAGCTTACGGGAGTTTAGAGGTGTGCAACGTCAGTCATTAGATTTTTACATCTGAGAAGTTGGCGTGGTAGCTTACGGGAGTTTAGAGGTGGGCATCGTGAGGAAAATATTAGGATCCGTTGCTACCGTATGATTATTACGAGAATGCGCAAGAAAGAGGGGGTTGAAGTGAATCTCTAACCCTAAGGATAACCAACCAACCAAACCCACCACCACCACAATAAACGGGGTCAGAGATCACCGGGGTCTGCCCGGTATATAGTCTGCCAGAACACTTGCTGCTTGTTGTCTTATTGAATTCTCGCGACAACCCCCTTCGATCCCTCCCTCCTCTACTTTTATTCCTCTCCCTCAGTAAATCACAAACAATGGCAACTGCTGCACCTGCTGCTGGCAATGCCGCAGCTTCCATCCTGGGTCTCATGGGCTCTGTGTAAGTCGAGGTGGTGGCATTTCTGGTCATTGCATAAGTTTGACTACCATGACCTACGCGATGTGTGTCGATGATTTTTGGATCAATGCTTCTGTCACTATTTTCTTATGTTCAGTGGTATCTCTGACCTTCTGTTTTTCGTATTTTTTTTTGCCGTTGGAATTAAAATATGTACATGTACATGTACTCCGACGGATATCTTTGCGTACCCCCCGATCCGGTATCATACGACAATCATTTCTCTCCAATGCATTAATTTGTTCCTATTGATACCCCCAACCAAACAATTATCCACAATGTGACAGCAAGGAAAAATGGGAAAGCAGTGGTGCCAGCCGAGCTGTGAGCGATGTCTACGCACAAGTTCCCCAGGGTACCAAGGATTATTTTTCCGCTGCGTCTCAGCAGCTCTTTAGCCGTCAACATTTGAGGCCAGTCTCGGTGGTCTTTGGCATTGGCGAAGAAAGACCCTTCTACGTGGAACGAGCTGGCACTCTTTTGGTGGAGCGTGTACGCCACAATCTTTCCTTCTTCTACCTCAATTACATGTTGTTGATGGCCGTCCTGTTCACATTGACCCTCGTCATTAGTCCCACTGCTATTATTGGAATCGGATTGTTGGGAGCTGCCTGGATTTACATGATCCGATCAGCAACAAATGGCCATATCAAAATTGGAGGTAAGATTCTGTGCGGCTGCTGAGATTTGGTTGGCTTTTTGGGTGCTGGTTCCAATTGATGTTATTTTTGGGTTCTGATCCAGCCTTTACAACTGCACTGCCTTGGTCCATTTAAATCTTGTCAAGCAGCCATTGATATTCAACAGAAACACGCCACCATTGCAATGAGCATCATCAGTGTCATTGTCCTCTTTTGGCTCCTTCAAAAGATCTTCTGGTGGACCCTCTTTTCCTCCGGCTTCCTAATATTGGCCCATGCACTATTCAGAGACGCCTCGTTGCATAAGGATTCAGAAGATCAAGTGGATATGCAGGGCGAAATGACATTGGCACCCACTAGTACAGGAGAGGATGCTGCCTTTTTGAAAAACAATGATCTGGCCTAACACGAGGACAATGACAACACAAGGATGAACAAATTCCAAAGGAAGCTGAACGATGCAACAATCATTGCAACTAGATTGGTGATACCTCCAGTTGCAAGAAGTCCAAGGTCGGTGCTTCTTCTTTTGGTGGAGATTGGTGGAGACTGGTTTCCATAATTGCACAGATGAACGATTTAGCATGGTTGCGGAACTGGCGTATATTATTTATAGGATATCAACCATAATCCAAGCTCTGAGCCATTGTAGAACTTTGATGGGCGCTTCTCCGTGGACCGACAACGCACCATGCCAATGCAGGGCTGCACCCAACACCAGGTGAACCGCAAATCAAAGGGAGCCAGGGCTTACCACTCCCAGCCTGTCCGCTGCTGAAGGTCTATTCCTGGCAGCGTTAAATCACATCAACCCATCAAACGGTGTTCCCCACATTCAGGGGAACCCGACAACCGACACAACAACTTGTGGTAGTTGCAAATAACAGAAATAACTGGGCTTGAAGACTACTAGCTAGCTAGTAGCTCGTAGCAGGGTAGTGGCAGTGGTGCGATGGAGATTGTTCGGGGAATTCGCGACGAGGCAGCCAGAAGCGTGGCAGGGTGGGTTGCCTCTGCCAAACCCAGTACTTTAGCTAGTTAGCACTCTCACTTTTTTCTGCATTTGATAGCATTTGACACTTCAAAAGGGAGGCAAGTTCCGATAGAAAATTTGGATATATATCGTGAAACCTTGCAGCAACGCACTTGGCCCAAACTTCTCTAGAGAAGTCTACTAGCTATGTCTAGTAGATGATAGTTCTTCGTACCGGTAGCCTGCAGGGGATAGTTGTCCCTTTACTTGAGTACCCTGTACGCGTCGTCGAGGTCTCAAAACCAAGGTCGTCCCAACAGAACATTGCCATTCTCCAACTCTGGCTTTGTTTCATTTCGCAAATCGCATTTCGCACCGCCCCTGCAACCTTGACTGTTCTGGTACACTTGTACCTCTGTGCATGTATATGTAGATCTAGCTAGAGCTGATCTAGCTAGCTATGCATAGAGCTGCGTAACCATCAGATTCTGGACATAATGTCACAAATTGCAATATGTCAAAGGCATTTCCCGGCTGTTTCGGCATTGATCACAAAATCACATCAGCGCATGACAACGTTGAGCCTTCTCATCATCAGATTTCTTCCTTGGTTCTATGATACAGCTGTTCTACTATTACATGTAGCTAGCTTGCTAGAGCTTTTTGCGACTATCTCTACTGCTAATGTACTTGGTACCGATACCGGTACGGTAGCTGGCTACACAGTAGCGCGATAGCGGAAGACAGCATTGATACCCAGGTAGATGCGGTGAAAACAATTTATATCAAAATTTGAATAGTAAACAAAACTTACCGCTACTACCTTTGCAAAGAATGTCGCAAGATACCCCGGCCTTTTTCTAAAACGGTATTATGCATATGTAAGCTGCATGCAGTGCAGCATTTGGCCTTCACTGACGACCGGCCCTTGCTGCGACGCTACAACAGCAACATGAAAAGCAGAGCGTATGGCCCACACGTCCAATAGGCCAACAGGAACAAGACGACGAGGTGTTTCTGGTTTTCTTCAATGCGTCTTAATAACGCAATGGACTACTTTGACCATACCCCACAAGTAAGAAGGGAAATAATGTTTCCGAGACCGGCATTAGAGGCTGCGGCCATTTGATTTTGCTTCGGGGTGCTTTCAATTAATAAAATAGTTTAAGATAGACCTTCTCTTTCGGCCTGAGGCCAATAATTTTCAAGTAAAATAGAACTCGCGTTCAACGGAGCGCTTCTGTAGAGCTCTCAAGCAAAATGGACATAGGACACACTCCACATCACTCCTATCGACTATTACAAGTAGCTTACAAGTACATGTACATGTACGTGACATTGTTGCTCAAGGCCCAAGAGCTCTCAATCTCTCAATACTCAAGCCACAAGCTACAAGCCACACCCACAGTAGCAGGACCAGTGGTATACGTAGGATTTTACGTAGGTAATCTAGTAGGTCCCCCCATACCGTAGCAGCGCGAGACCCTCTTTGGAGGGGTACGAACCCTCTCTCTATGGTGTGCAAGCAGCATCAAGCCTGATACCAAATAGCCACTAAATCCTGCAGAGCCTAGAAAATCCAGTGTGTCCTGGCCTTTGAATTCTGTCAGCTGATAGCGACCATAGTTGGTGCAGGAATCTGGGTGCTTGCAGACAAGTATGATGCTTGTGATCAGCTTTGTACATTGCCAGACAGAAAAATTTCATTGAAGAGGATGCAACCTACACGCAATTAAAATGGAGGATGTCCTAGAGGTCAATAGCTTTCAAAGGCTATGGATGGGTAAGATTATACAGTGAAAATTCTAGGCTAATACTAGTATAGAAGCTACCCATCCTTTTCTGGTACATACTCTACGTGAGCCTACATAGAGCAAGCAGCAAAGTCAAAAGGGCCAAAGGGGGGGCAACTGCCCGTTTATCCTGCGGAGGAGACACCGCCGGCCCCCTTCTCCTACTACATCATACCACTGCTCCAGCACACACTGAGTACACGTATGCACGAAGAATACATCATGTTGCCATCCACCTCGGACCTTCGAGTTTTAGCTGTACTATGGAACGAACAAACATCATACGCGAACTCGATGCATAAGAGTGCCTAGACTAGCTACAGTACCGTACAGGGACACTCATGTACCAAGCACCATCAAATTCTGCACTCAATAGGCGGGCTTGTAGGATGCCATGCGAGAAACTGGGCTTGGTTCTTGGGTATCTTTCGGTGAGACGAAAGTGTGAATGGTTGTTTGACCGGTGGCTTTTGATTTTATCAAATAAATGCAGCAAAAAGTGAGAATACTAAATAATTTTACTGGGATTGACACCAGAAAATTAATGGCCACAAAGCATCCTGTTCAAGGTGATCTCCTCTGTTCCAGTCAACACAACACGATCGATTTCGTCCAATCTACTGACTACTTTGCGTAATCTTGAGATGTTTTCTGGTACGACAAAATTGATCTTACCATCTCTTCTTCAGGGAGCCAGCGCTATTAACACACATAACTGACACATTGAGTCACAGTGTCATAAATTGCACCATTTTCCCCTATTTTCCCTTTGCTTGAAAGGCACAAAGGCAGTTTCAGAGAAGAATCAAGGCACAACAACCAGTCAGCACTTACAGGTATAAATTTGAAATGTCCAGGCAGAAGAGCTGATGCGAATCTGGTTTGTTCCGTGGGGTTTTGTCCCTTATCTCCTGGTTTTCTTTACTCAGGATAAAAACATCATGCACGACGAAACAGTCTGCAATGCAGCAATGACCCTTCAAATGTACAAACTCATGCCGGGACCCATGCCGCCACGGCTAAGTGGCAACCACACCCAATGTTGAGCCTTTTTTCTGGTTTTCCGGCGAAGTTGAGGAGGAGGGAGCTCGGGCGTGAACATGTGACTCAAGCCCCTCTTCTTCATCTGGATCCGGTCAGTCCTCACAATTTCTATTCGAGCAAGTTGCAAAAGGATCCTCCTTCAAAACCCCACAAGCCCAAAATCCAAATACTTTTCTTTTCAACCATGATGGCCCTCAACAACCGCAAGAGAATGTCCACCGACGGCATGTTCGACATGACCTTGGCATCTCCAAACAAGAAACGTAAGTTGCCTTCTCTCTTTGGTTGATCAAATCACTCGTTAACTTCTGGCAGCATCTAACCGAGTTGCATCTACCCTCCGCCGCGCAGCCGCTCTGTCACCATGGGACGAACCTTCTCTCTTTGATATGCTCTCAGAAGGGCTGAATATCGAGGAGTCCCAAAGAACTGGCCTCGATTTTCCCACTTCCAAGCCAGATATTGTCCCTTTGCTTGATACCCCATTTGAAGCGTTGAGGGCAAAGAACCCCATGGTCAAGCACCAAGACAACTATCCCCAAGAAGGATGGAAGACCAAGCTGCAGCAGAAGGAACTTGGTGCACATACCTCACGGGTTTTGGGAACACTCTCCGCTGCCATCCCCATCTCCCCTGCTGGCCCTACCCCTGTGACTCCTCCGACACAACCACCGAAAGAAACCAGCCGGCAGTTCCTCTACAAACATGTTCCTTCTGCTGCAGATCTGATTGACACTTTGGCGACTGACGACGACGTTGTATTTGGAATCCCCTTCAGAGCATTCTGAGCTCGTTCATTTAGTCCTCCACAAACAACCAGCCAAAGATGATAATCTTCGCTGTCTGTTTTCCTCCAACATCACACTTCTATCTTCCGTCCAAACTGGCTGCAGCGCATTGGGGCAATGCTTGACTAAGCAGCCAGAACGAGGCTGTGGAGATTGCGTATAGTTTCTACACTTCTAATAGCATCCATTTACTGTATACTACCGCTGGCCCTCTCGCTCTCAATAGCATCAAGGTCGTCCTTGGAGGATAGAGAAAGCGACCATGACAGTGGGTGGTTTTAACCACCCAGCGGGGACTTCTTTCGCCTTTTCGAAAAGAGGTGCACATCCCACTCTAGAGTAGTAGTACTAGTACATGTACGGCATCCTTCGGCTCCCAGCTCCCAGCTCCCAGTAGCTTACCGGTACTGTGAGCACTGATGAGTATCCAGTATGGTCATAGCGTGGCCTAAACTGGGCGACAACTGATGCTTCTATGTCCTGGGTCTCGTCAACGTTGCTTCGAAGTTGTTCTACCTGCCCGAGAGACAGAGAGATACAGAGAAGAGGAGAGGAGAAGACCCAGACAAAGCAAGTCAACAGGGATTCTCATTCGGTTCCAATGTTCCAATTAGCTTGGGTCGTAAAGCCAAAGACAAAAAAAGAGGTGACGACACTATTTATTTAGTTTAAACTGAAAAACGAACTTGTCTACTTCTTCAACAGAAACGGTGAAGGGTGAAGGTGAGGCAAAGGCAAAGAGCTGGACTACTCAGAGCAGTAAAGACTGCTTTGGAAGGACGATAATTCAATGAGGATGGGAGGACCGAACAAAAAGTGCCACTCGACATTATTAAATTTGTTGCTGTTCCCGGCTGCGGCTTCAAGCCCCCACATTTTCCTCTTTGCAGTTTGCAGGTGGCAGGTGGGTACGCCTTGGCTTCTATAGAATCTGATGCTGGAGTGCTGGAGTAGGTTATTTAGTCCCAGCGTCGGACCTTTGCCTAGCTGTATGATATATCTATCTGTCTACTAGAGTACCTAGCTAGTAGCTAGCTCTAGTAGACTTCAGAGCAGATATATGATACATCTATCTGTCTACTAGAGTACCTAGTGGCTAGCTAGTAGACTTCAGAGCAGATGGCCACAATCCGAGTTGAAGCATCTCTTCTTCAGTTTTTCCCAACGCAACCACACTGCTGCTGGCAGTCAGCAGTCACACAGTCAGCAGGCACCAAAAGCGCAGCGGATCTTTCCAGCCTTTTACAAGTACAGCGTAATCCAGAGGGGAGAGGATCAAAATTTCACAAGTCCAGCTTTGCACCTTCAACCTTCAACTTTCCTTTCTTGGCTGTTGGCTATTTCTAATAGCCACTCTGGGCTCTAGCTAGCCAAAGCTAGCTACTAGTAGTATGACAGTGTGGAAATCGAGATAATATCAAAGAAGCATGGCTCTGGTACCGGTGCCTTAGAGTTTCCCCCCTTCACCTGCTGCCTGCGGTACTCGAGTTCAAGTAGTACATTTACTAGTACCGGTATTGGTTCTTGATTTTGTTGACTGGATCATGCTCCGAGAGGTGACATTGCTTTTATGACATAAAGACCAGTCATGTATATGCCGTAAGGAGTCATCACATTTCTTAGAAGGTTCATCAATGCCTTAGAGAACGATGAATGTATTTCCCCCTGAAACGAGTTAAGGAGCTGTTAAGGACTTAGTATCGCTGACGGACTTCAACATGGGGCTTACTTTAAGGCTTTAGCAACAAAGGAGAACATCCGTCAGAGCTTCAGTCAGTCAGTCATCAGTCATGGATCCAGATGTGAATGGGGTACGGTACGGTATTCGAATAATACCCAGCGGCTTTGACGCCCAATCAGCTCTGCTGCTGCCAAAGAGGCGCAGCCAATTTTGGAAGAATTCGATTGAAAGATCAATCATTCTCATTTTATCGCTTCGACTGTGCTACCCTCGTACGTGTCCGTGCGACTGGCACTATCCTACGTAAAGGAAGAAGCAGCACCAGCAGCAAGAAACAACACTACTAGTAAGAGCAAGAGTATCTAATGATGATGAAGGCTTTGGTTGCAGTGGTCATCAGCTGGTTATTGGTAGCAAGCCATGTGGTTGTCCAAGTGCTGGGCCAGTTGCCCACAGCGCCTCCGTTTGACTATATTCTGTCGCTTCCAGACCAAGTAGACGATGTAACGACCAAGCAGTGTCGATTGCGCAAGTCTTCGGCAGGTCTGCCCAAGACAGTGTACAAAGTGGGAGTGTTGGGGAATCGGGGTATTGAGACTTTATACAAGGAATACAACATGACCTTTGAAACCTACTTGACGACTACGGCCGGCCAACGGTTTGATCCTCCCATTTCCTTTGAAATTCATCCCTTCTTGTTTGGAGAACAGGGCATTCTCGACACGGCCGTCAGTGGCACGGTCGATTTCACCTTTATGAATCCGGCGCTCTACTCGTGCGTCGAGTCGGAAGCCAACGCCAATTCGTTGGTGACGCTCTTGAATAAACGAGTCGTCAATGGCGTCACGCACGGATTGTCGCAATTTGGGGGAGTGATTTTTGTACGACACGACAATACCAATGTTCAGTCGGTAGCGGACGTGCAAGGCAAACGAGTGGCCACCACTTCGGCCACTAGTTTGGGATCGGGACAAATGCAGTTTCGAGAAATGCAACAAGTGGGATTGCATCAATTTCAGGACGTACAACAACTCATTTTTATGGAATCCCAAGAACGCGTCGTTCACGCCGTTATTCGAGGAGAAGTCGAAGTGGGATTTGTACGAACGGATCAATTGGAACGGAGTTCCGATCCTGAAACGGGAGAGCCATTGGATATGAGTCTAGTCAGAATTATTCAAGATCGAACCGGGATTCCCATGAACAATGGAAATCCCTTTCCGGTCGTCATTTCCACCTATTTGTACCCCGAATGGCCCTTTGCCAGTTTGCCACATGTCCCTTCCGACGTTACTCTCGAAGTCCAACGAGCGCTTCTCGAAATGGATACCAGAGCTTCCTTGGCGGCACCCTTGAGGGAATGCTTTGCCGCCAAGGGATGCAACGATTTCCCACAAGTATCCTTTCAACGCAGTCAATGCGAATATTCCTGTTTTGCCGACCTCGACGAGGCCGTTACAACTTGCACACTGCCGACGTATCCATCCATTGCCTTGTTGGCAGATCAAGCCATGAACAGTGCCAAATCGTTTGGATGGGTCCCCTCCAGTTCCTACATGACCATTCGCAATATGCAAGAAGAAACCGGCTTTATTACCACCACGGACAGTGGGCAAATACGATGTCTTCGCACCACTGAATTGGTCGATGCCGTCACGTGTCCTCCGGGACACTTTAAACGAAGCGATGACGAAATTGTAAATGGATGTGCCACTGTCGGATTGGATTGTTATGGATTCCAATGTCTCTGTTCGCCCTGTGTCAAGGCGTACGATGTCGATTTCTATGCGGCGTCGACCACTAATACGAATATTCGAAAGGGAGAAGGCAAGGACCAACAACAACAACAAACGAACAATAATAATAATACTGACACCAACCATGGACCAGGAACCGGCTGTGCCAAGTTTGAAGTTTGTGGAGAAGTGGAACAAATGGAACAAATTACCTTTCGGATTGTCGACAATAAAAAGAGAGCCAACGCCGTCTTTACCGCCAATGTGTTGATAACGGAAGTGGGAGAATTGTATACCATGACCCCACCCGACGTCGAGGACAACAGCAACAGCAGCAGTACCTTGGTCGTACGAGAATTCGTGTTTGATGGGACGGACCGTCCGGTTGGAGTCTTCATCGTGCAAGTCTTTGTGGACGGGGAGCAAATTCCAGGTAAGAAATAATACTGTGGCTGCTAGTTGCTCTCTCATGGCAGGCTTCCGTTCGACTCCACGGCTCAATATTACCCTCGATGCATGAACTACCACGCAGAATCACCGTTTCGGTTTCGAATCGTTCGGAGAAACTGCGAAGATGAACTGGTACCGGACCGCTTTGGATATTGTATGTGTCCAGAAGGAAGTATTCGAGTGGGAGACGCATGTGTCAATAGATGGACCATCACGACAATTGCAATTGCTGGGACACTGGCTCTCATTGGATTGGTCGCCTGGATCGTAATTGACCGCAAACATCGGCAAATGGATGCCATTTGGAAGGTGCGAATGAAAGAGCTCGTCTTCGATGAACCCCCTCGTGAATTAGGAAAGGGGGCCTTTGGGGTGGTTCTATTGGCAGAGTATCGAGGAACACAGGGTGAGTGTTGGCAAAGCAAAGGCAGGAGCAAAAATTGGTGTAGGCATGGAAGAATGCATCTCACAACTTGTTCTTAACAGTCGCGGTGAAACGAGTTTTACCCAAGCGTGCCGAAGGGAAACTAGGTTCTCGGGGGTCGGTAAAACTCGGCAAAACCAGGAACTCCTATTTGCTCGACAGGTTGGAAAAGGGGGAATATGATGCATCTCAACAGAGGACTGATGTTACAGCCAGTATGGTGGGCAGTGTTACGAACTTGGCTTTTTTCAACCGCAAAACAGTGGGATTGAGGAAAATCCAAAGAGATTTTGTCAGGTACGTGCAGATAATTATTTGCCATCACGACCCCTTCATGAGGGCATCATGCGGCTCACATATCGCTGTTCCCTGCATCTCCCAGGGAGATGAGAATGCTAAGCAAACTGAGGCATCCTTGTGTCGTTTCTGGTAGAGTATCACGTTTTAAAACGGCTGAATGCTTTTCTTCTTAGCCCATCTCACACCGATGTTTGCCTTTCATCATGTTAAAGTGATGGGCGCTGTAGTTTCTCCAAACGAGATACCTCAGCTCATTATGGAGTACCTGGAGTTAGGGTCCTTGTATGATCTGTTGCACAATTCATCTACAGACCTGAGTGAGACCAGTTGCAACATGCTTCAGGATATAGCGCAGGGCCTCCGCTTTCTCCACAGCGCTGATCCGCCGATTGTCCACGCTGATTTGAAGGCTCAGAACGTGTTTGTGGATAGACGGTTCCACGCCAAAGTTGGTGATTTTGGGTTGAGCACTCGTGGCGTGTTCAAGCTGCAAGGAACTGTAGCAGGTTCTCCGCTTTGGATGGCCCCCGAATTGTTGCGCAAAGAAACATGGAACACCGTGGAGAGCGATGTTTGGGCGTTCGGAATTCTGATCTCAGAGATGCTAACCCGCAAGGACCCTTTCCATGGAGAAGATATATGGGAAGTGCTCAAGGCCGTCGCGGATCCAAAGGAAAACAAAATGCCATCAGTCGAGAGAGGAGTATACCCTGATGCGAAGAAACTCATGTGGGCGTGCCTTCGAAAGAAACCCGAGGAAAGGCCCAAAGCCGATGAAATCGATATACGAGTCAAGCAGTTTGAGCATGAAAAGTTCGCCATGAACCAAAGTAGGAAATCGACGAGGACGAGGAACACGGAAGATTTGCTGGTAAGATCTCAAAGTCGCGTACGGCTACCCAGACCCAGCTCTCCTTGCTCATGCACTTTCTCTCATCTCTTCTCTCAAGTCGGAATTATTTCCCAAACACATAGCGGGTAAGTGACGGAAATAGTGTGGCACGGCCTCCTGGACCCCTACATGTTTGGCAGCATGCTGCTCACACATATATCCCTTTGTTTTGTACCCCCCCCCCCCAGACGCAATGCGCGAAGGCCGTACAGTTGAACCTGAAAGTCATGATTGCGTCACAGTTTAGTGAGTTACACTACTATTCACTAGCCTGTTTGCGGGGATGGCTGTACTTCAGAGATTGCAAGCTCACAATTGCGAATCGAATCTCCTTTCTGTAACCACAGCTTCAGCGATATTGTCGGCTATACCAACATCTCTTCCGAGCTTACTCCGGAGAAAGTTAGCTCTTTATTGCATCGACTGTACTCAAAATTCGACAACCTTTGTGAGGATCATGATGTGTTCAAAGTGGAGGTGAGCGTGACAAGTGACTGCCCCTTGCCGTATATTCACTTTCAGCTAACCATTTCCGTGTCGACCGCTCTTTCTTCTGCAGACTGTTGGCGACGCCTACATGGTCTGCGCAAACCTGACCAATAAGCGCAACGACCACGTCGTGCGAATAGCGAATTTCTCGTTTGACGCGATAAAGGCTGCTGCGGAGACTCGGATCGATGAAGACGATCCAGATCGTGGCAACGTTCAAATTCGATGGTGGGTGCACACTTTTTCTTCTCCGCGCTTGCTGGTATCTCAAAGTCTGATTCGCTTTTGCTAACGAAACCTCTTGTTTTTTGTGAATCGTTTAATCCAGTGGCTTTCATATAGGGCCTGTTGTAACTCATGTTGTTGGTCATAGAAATCCTCGGTACGTGGCTTGGCACTTGGAACTTGGACGTACGATGCCTGGACGGGACCATTCTCACCTCACTGGCTGTGTTACCTTTTTTGCCATGCAGGTATTCTGTAATAGGAGACGTAGTCAATACCGCTTCGAGGATGGAATCCAACAGTTTACCTATGCAGGTCAATGTTTCCAAGGTACACTGGCAGTCTTCTCGGAACCGAAATCCAGACTTTGGCCTCTTCCGTACTCATCCTGTTCCGTTTCAAACGCTTAACAGGTCACCTCTGACATGCTACAAGAGGAGTACCCGGGGATCGTCTTGTCCAGTCGGGGTGTCATGAATGTGAAAGGGAAGGGTAAGATGGAGCTCTTCTGGGTTGAGCCACCGAATCAAGTCACTTTTCGTGGGAGAAGAGAGAGCGCCATTCCAGAGTCTCGACTGAGCGCCGAGACCGTCGAGAGCTTCGCGAACGAGGAGCCCGCTCCTGCAAAGTTCCGGCGAACCAGCACAAGAAGCACAGACGGCGGCATAACGGCAAGGTTCCGCAGGAGTAGCACAAAGAGCAGCACAGCTAGCACAAATAGCAAGAAGGTGCGAATTAGTAGGGGCAGCACGCCGAAGGAGGGGGACCTGGCGCTTCAACGACGATAATCAACCAAGGAAGCAAAAGCAGGGCCGTCGGGAACAGTCGGCAGGTGGGGGCGCCTCGTTTGATCAATCAATTCACGATCGGCTCTGGAGCGCCCGTTTGGGTATTCAATTCACAAACGGATGGTGGATGTCGGTCGTCCCGCGCATGAAGTCGCTGTTACCGGACACCTGGTGCGTGATCCCTACGATTTCGGAGTCGTCATTGTTTGTCGGTAGAAAGAGCAAGAAATAATAGAATACAATGAATGATTTTACAATAATCGTTGACGCCCATCGCCAGCTACGCCCCCCTACTAGATTTTCGCCGGAGCGGTTGGTCGTCGGCTTTCGTGGTGTTTGCGGTAACCATGCGACTTGACCCGGCAGCTCTCCGTCCCCCCTACCGTCGGCTTTCGTGGTGTTGGCGGTAACCAGGCAACTTGACCCGGCAGCAAGGAGAGCCGCCGTCCTCTTAGCTTCTCGTCCAACGTGGTCGTCAAATCGTCTGCGGCGTCGCTGTCAGCCGCCCCCAAGGCCACATGCAACGGCCATTGCGGGAGGCGTGTGCACGCTCCCCGGACAATCATCCTCAATTCTGCGGACTCCAACGCAATGTTGGCAATGATGAGTTTCTTGGTCCCATCTACGGTAGGCAATGCTTGAATTGCCTGTATCGTCATGGTTGGATTTTTCCACATGGTTGACTGGGTTCTCTCCAAGTCAAAACATCTATCCGCAGGAACCCCCTCGACAAGCGTCAAGTGAGGGCAAGAGGTATTGGACAAAACCCCTACCGACTGGACGATTTCTTTTGTGGTGTAGACGGATATTGGATGGATTGGGACAACCAAAGAGCACAATCCCTCCAACAACCGAAGTTTTCGTCTGGAAGATAGATACTTTGACAATTTGGTATCTTCGGTGTCGCTGGATCTGCCCGCGGCTTCTTTGCCGCAAATGATGCATGCGATGACACGCAACTTTAGTGGATGAGCGCAAAAACGATGCTCAGGGCACTTCTCTTCCCGTTCTATTTGGACACGACTTTTCGGAAAGCGGCTTGGTGCGGCTCCTTTTCCACGGCCGTCGCGGTTCCACTTGTTGTTTCTGGTTGATATGATCATCTTCTTTTTCTCTTCTGTTTCACTTTTGCTTGCTTTTGGTAGTATTTCATCTACCCCTTGTTCTGCTTTGTTTTCTTTCCTGTTCGACTTCTAGTAATAGAATGTCACTTTATGTTAGTGTGGGCTGTGGTTGAGCCTTCCTTTTTTCCGGGACAGAAGTCTATCTCAGATGCACGTTTCGATTTTCCACGACTGACCAAAAAAGGGCCAGAGGCGGCTCACCTCTCAACCAACAAGAGGGGTCAAATTCTCAAATTTGATAATGCTACTGGTGTACCGGTACCTGGTACCGTCTGGTACCAGTACGTTGTCCACGGCTGGACTTTTACCTCTAAGATTTACTTACAGCGTACCGGTACCGACTACACCACCTTCCCGAAGGCCGCGTGAGGGGTCTTTTACTTCAAATCCACTCTAATCTACTAGTACCTATGTTATGCCTTTTTTCTTTTGTATCAGTGAAACAAGCTCGACTCCTTCTGAATTCGATCGGGCCACCTCCATGAACTTATCTTCCGCGATGGAAAGACACTTTCCAAACATTCCCGACCCGCAAAGTATCCGGTGTTCGCGATCACCTATTAGAATAGTCTCTTCCAAGTACAGTTTCATGTTCTTGGAATGACAAATTGGCGCCATAGTTCCGCTTTTGTATCCAGCCAAAGTCTCTCCGACCGACGTTGGTGCCAAGTGCAGTTTCGGTCTTCGACCGCTGCATTGACCCTTGAAGATTGCCTTTCGCAACTTTTTGGTGTCGACGCGGTCAGTCATGGAGACACCCGTGACAACGTAAAAGGGCGCCTTGGCTGTACCGTCGTCCTCGAAGGTCACCACTTCCCAGATACCCGTCTTCACGTGCGATACGTTCTCGTCCTGCTCGGCTTCGTCCTCTTTCTTCTCGTCGGCAAAAAGATGGGCCACTTCCTTGGAAACTTTGTCCGGAACGAACTCAAAGTCTTCCATGCTTCTGCAAACCCCTGTTCTCAGGAGTCGCTCAACCATGAGAGGCACCTCCCCAGGCACGAGCAGGTCGTTGGTTTCATTGCCGCAACACGAGGAAGCTGTTTTTGGAGTCTGACATACCCGAGAGGCATCGGGGAGGACAGCCTCTATTTCCTCCTTAGCTTTACCATTCTGATCGTTCTCCAGATCGTATTCCGCAAATAATTTGATAAGTTCCAAGAAGTTGGAAGTTTCCACTTTGTGATCGGCTGCAAGCTCGGCAATGACCGAGCCTTCGCTGTCTAATGTATGAAACGAGCTACACGTCGTCATTGTTTTGGCGCTTGTGCTATTGTTGTCGCTTGTGGTTGTGAGGCGTCGTTTCACCTTGTCTTTGGATTTGCTGGTGGGAAATCCAAACGTGTGATGCTTTCGTGCTCCTCGTTCCTTCCAGCCACGTCTCGGAAAGAGTCTACGAAGCAACTGGAAAAGCCGTCTTCATGCTGGTTGCTTCCTGGGGGGAAGGCTCGACTCTTCTTCAGCGTCATAGTTTTCCAAGTTATCTATGGTTGCAAGGTCAACACCTCCGCTTGGACGGCCGACGTGCGTGTGGTGGATTCTCTGGTCCGCCCCCCGCACAAGTTCATCGTACGAGGCCAACGTAGTCTGCATTTGTCGACCATTCCCGCAACACAGTTCCGGGATGCACTTGAAACACATCCATGTCAATGCTTTATGTGTTTTGTTGTGGCCGATATGTAACCCCTTTGTCCGGAACGCGGCAAACCTAGACTACAGTGTAACTGCCCGTGGGAACTCATTTTCAGAGCCTCCTAAAGTGGGACTGAGACTCGTGTCCCGGAACGCACGCGCTGTTCGCCGCTCAATGTTGCGGCAGGTTGCTGTGGCTTTGGTTTTTCGCCAAGCTATTGAAGGCCGTTGGCTACCAGCTAGCTAGACGTAGTACGATATAGTCAGTTGTACCCGTTCAAATAATTGCAAAGAAGTTAAAAAGCATAAGGTGTTGTTTTCTACTTCAGCCAGTGCTTGCCAATTGGATGCATTCGTTAGGGCGTTTATAACTTTCCACCCTTTAGGGAACATCCTGAAAATATCGTTCAAGTTGCCTCCAGACAGCCTTTGTAGCCACCCGTTGCATGAGCGCCTTTGCGGCACTCCGTTGGGTCGGAGTAAAGTATGGATCATAATCGTGCCGTGCGCTAAAGTCCTTGTTGGTCCCTTGCATTTCCAAGTGTAAGAAATCCAGAATCTTGCCGGCAGTTTCGTTCCACTTCTTGTCGTAGTTTTCGTAGTGGATTATCAGATTTGTTTTGTTGTTGTGGTTGATAACAGCATTGGCCAGATTATGCCATTGGGTATATCGGTAGATTTCTCCATGACAGGGAACACCCTGCATGAGCCGTACTACATCTTTTGGAAGAAACTTGTTTGGTTTGTTGGGTTTGGGGCCATATTCGGCATTCGAATCTTTGCACCATCGTTGGAATCCTTCAGCATCATTGGTGTATCGCTTGATTTCTCGTTCCATCTTTTTGGCTGCCCAGTGTATGCGTTCCAAATGGAATCTCGAGACAATGTTGTCAAATGGATTTCGGTATAGGTGGATTGCTTTCTTGACAAGGCTGGCATTGTAGTGTACAATTTGGAATCCTTCATGGACTGTGGAGGATAAAGCATTGGAAGAACTGGGCGGCTGCATCTCCTTCACTCGTTTTTGAACCTCTTTGGGGAAGAGACCACTGCCTCGTCGACATTCATCAAAAAAGTCCTTTTCTGTCATGACATAGCGATCGGGACCACACAAAGTGCAGCGGCCTTGACAGACAACAAGAAAAGGATGGATATCAGTCATCGTGCACGGAGGTAAGTAACCACAACAACTACAAAATGCCCCACTTACCACCACAATGAGTCTTGACGAGGACATAGTCATCCGGCAATGGCTTTCGTGGATCTGGTTTGTAGAAAGGTCCATTCCAGCTCCAGTCTTCCCCTGGATAGAGAGGCGTATTGAATGTGGGAGGTTCCGTGACTTCACGTCCATAGTTGGAAGCAATGGCTCGATTGGACGCGCGTGATACCATGGTCATGGTGTAGCTGGTCCCACTGTTGGGATAACTCATCAGCCAGACAATTTTAGGACGTTCCTTGTAGTTTTCAAAGGCAAAGTTTTGCTTGGTACTGTTGGAAGCATTCTTGTTTCTTAAGCGCTTTTTGTTTTCCATCTTGTCCATGGAACGGATTCGTTCTCCCTCTTTGTAATTGTCGTCATCTCCTGTGAACTCCACCTCATCATCGGTGTTATCTACCCATTCCGATTGGAACAAAAACGGGGGAGCCCATGCTGGACGGAATCCCTTGGATTCGGTCGTTTCGATTTGTAAAAACCCAATAGGCAATTTTCCCCACCACATGAAACAAGCCACCATGGAGACGAGACTCAACAGGACAACCGTCATGCTCCGGTGTTGAAAGGTTGACAAGTTGCTCATGATAGATATCTTCGGAACCTGATCGAATCTCTCCTGACAGATGGACAAGAAATGAAGCAAAAGTCCGATGGTATGGTAGTGGTTGCAATAAAGGACACTGATAATGAAAGGGTATCAGCCAATAAGTTATCCAAGAGAGATCGACGCCTTGTTCTCTCCGCACACTGCCAATAGCTCCAATGCTAATAACAACCCAACCAAGGTAGACACAAGAATGCAGTGATGACCACTCCCACTCAAAAGCATTTAAATTAAGTGTGCATCATGTCCACCAAAATTTAATAGTGGCGGGATGTCCGAAGCCGATTTCTCCAAATTTTTCTGACACGGGGCTCACGTTGGTCTGTACGAAACAACCCGCGCTCCTGCCCGCGATTTATGAAATTGGCTAGCTCTTACTCTTTGTCGCCCTGCTTCTTTCGAATAGATGGCGCGAACTGACAAATGACAACGTTTTCGAATTCCTGAACCGCGCTGAAAGAATAGGTCTACTCGTATCTCAAGATAATAGCTACCGGTAGCAAAAGCTTCTTAGAGCTGTGGAAGACAGGATCTTTGATTTTCTGTTGAAGGATCCTTCGTTTCTTTCATTGCGAAAGAAGCACAAAAGAAACAACACCTGCTCTATACAGTACACAGATGAGTCGCTCTCAAATGACCAGTCCTCTGGAACTATGAAAGGTCGGAAACATCTTGCCCCAGCAACCAATCCAACTGACAACTGAATCCCCACCACTCTGCTTGCACCTAAATTTACCATGATGACGGACAAACCATCGGAAGAGACATTGCCTGCATCCCACAACAATGAGGTTGTAGATCCAATACCTTCACCAGCAGAAAGATTCCACTTTGTCTCAAGAAGATACATGATCTTGGCAGTCATCCTCATTGGGATTCCTCTCTTTATGGTCCATTGGCAAAGTCTACCCAGCATTGAAGCGGCGACCGTTTCTACAGAAGAATCGTCCAAGAAGGAGTTCCTCCCTGAGGTGACGGATCAAGTAAGTGCTGTCACGAGCACGCACCAGACCGACTCTGCTTCTCGGCCATCCATTGTCTGGCTCATGAGTTATCCCAACAGTGGTACCAGCTATACCATGCGCATGGTAGCATCGGCTTCCAATCGTGCCGTTGCCACCAACTATGGAAATGAATACACGGATAAAGATCATCCCGCTAATATGCCACTCTACCCTGTGAAAGATGGATTGCTTCCACAAGGACCTTTTTGGAGAGCGCAAGACCAGCAACGATTGCCCGATCAATTCATCCTAACAAAGACTCATTGTGGTGGTAGATGCGGGCGATGCCGACCTAGCCGATATGTCTTGACATACTCCCAGTTCCTTCATGCGTGTACAGAGGGGAAGGGTTGTCTCCCGAATTCTGATAGCAACAGCTCTTCACCTTGTGAATGGACCACAACACACTATCCTCCCCCTCCTCACAATCCTCGAATTGGCAAACTCATTCATTTGATTCGCAGTCCCTTTGACAACTTTATATCACGCTTTCACTTGGCACGCAAACTAACCGCACAACGAATGAAGAATGACCCCAAAGGATTGAAGCAATGGATGGATGCACACCCTGACAGCCCTGCAGGGTTTACAAGGTGGTGTCAAGAGCTCGACCAGCAGTATGGTTCACCATTTGACCATGATAACTCAAAGCTACCCAACATTGATCACTTGACTTGTCTTGGGGAATGGTTTCGATACATCCAATGGCATGGGATGACCTTGATGCTCCAGGAACAGAACCCAAAGCAACTGCCAACTCTGACAATCTATTACGAAGACTATGACCGCAATTGGAACGAGACTACAAGCAGCATCCTGGACTTTTTGAAACTGGAGCGAGACGAGACTTCCACGGTACGGGAGTTCGTCGCTAGAAAACCTTATGATGATTACTACACCCAAGCACAACGCAAACAAGCCAAGGTTCTGGTGAAAAAGCTGGTATCAGACAATCTTTGGCAACTCCTCAAGCAATATTTTTGAACTTTTTGACTTGATGGATCCGCCAGACACGGACGGGCAAAACTTCAAATTGTATGTGTGGTTCAAGAATCACAGCATGGTCTTGCTTTGGCCTTAGTTGCGCTGCCAAAAGCTTACCTTACTACGTAGTGGCAAGCAAGTGGCATGGACACGGCAGCAACACTATGTCGTGCACTTCGAAGAAGAGGCTTGGGCGTTGACGAGACGCCCAAAGGCCATGTACCACAATGTTTGGTGGAAGGCAACTACTTCACAGCCATTGAGATGATGGAAACTATGTTTGAACTAGTTTATAAGGTTAGTTAAGTCGGCTACGGCTCTCTATTGCAACTCTACTTCACCCCATGGCGGCGACGACGAGCAATGTTTTTGAAGTAATTTCTGACTAGTAGCGGCAGATTGTCACGTCACTTCATGTGGTGGCGCCATTTGCAAATATTGTTCCAACGACCAAACGACTAGAGACAATACCAACAACGATGCAAAATCAACAACCACGTTGTTCTTGAAATTTGGAGAGATGAGTCGAGTCTTGCTCCACAAAGAATGAATCTATCTGCGACCTTGTATTCAGCCATTGTAGCGGAGCGCGAGGAATGTCTATGCTTTCCTTGCTTTCTAAGCCTTGAACTTTCGAGTAGCACGCTTGCTGTGCTGATACTTCCTCCTTCCACTGCGCTTCTTTCTCATAGCACTTCGACTCATGGCAGAGCCCCAGCAATCCTCGGCAGATGCGCCCTGGCACAGAATGCTCTCTGACTGATCCACGCAGTTGAAAATCGACAGAAGGGGTGCAACGACTATTTTGTCAGCTGTATCAACGAGTGCGTCCAAGACGGCTGTAGATGCTGTTTTGGCCATTGTTGTCACAGCTTGTGCCATCTCGTCGAAGTCTTGCTGCGGTTCTTGGTTGCTTCTGCTGAATTGTGGGTCCATTGAACACGGGGACCCAGTCTGGTTTCGTAAACTACGAGAGGCGACAGAGCCATCTTCTTTTTCTTGCCAGGTTGCAGAGCTCTGATTTTGTGGAGGTTGGGGACTGCTGCACTGTGACGAGACTTCGGAAACACCTTCCGGTGGGTTTTCAGCCAAATGCGCATTGACACATGCTCCAATGCTGTAGCGATTATTATTGGCATTGGTAGGAAGGATGGGCACAGCCAGGCGAGGAGTCTGCGAATGCTGTTGAGAAATCTCAGAGCCCCCACTAGGAACTGAGGTGCTTGAGCTGTACCAGCTTGCGGAGGACACCGGAGATGCTGATGTTGGAGGGTTCGGTGTTAATGGATCCATCTTGTTCTTAAGAATGCCCTTGATTGGCTGCTGTTCCTTTTCGCTCGACATTTCGTAGCGTCTTGCTGCTGGTGCTGAAAATGCCGATCCATTATCCGCCGCCTCAAGATTGGCCTCCAAACCGTTCAATTGAATGTCCTTCTCAGTTTGATGGCGTTTATCCTCGGTATCCGTGTAGTTAAACTCGGCAGGCCAACCCGAGTCTGCAGGATTTTGAGCGTCATCTCCATTGACTGTGTCTCCAACAACATCATCGTTGGAGCCTTCCTCCAGAGAGTTGAACAAAGAGTTGAGGTCGTGCAAGCCATAACCGCGACCGTCCCAATCTCGTTGAGTCGATGAACTCTGTGTCTTCGTTGGTGTTACCTCTCGTTGATCTTGGATTTCGTCTTGCCGGGTTTCTACACGACCTTCTACTCCTACATATTCTTTTCCGTAGTCTTCTACTCGGTATTCTTCTCCATATTCTTCTTCTCCATGTTCTTCTCCTTCTCCGTATTCTTCTCCTTGGCGAGCTTCTTGTTGGCATTGTACTCCATGATAATCTTTTTCCTGGTATTCTACTTCTTGGAACTCTTCCTCGAGCTCTCGCAGCATCGAGTCTTCCTCCTCTTCATCATTGTCATCGTCCTCCGTCATAGCCAATATTGTATCATCTTCAATATTCGCACTTTCCTCATTGTCCTTGCTCCGTTCATCTTCCTGTTCGACTGTACTGAAAAAGGATGCGTTGAGAAGGCCTTGCGATGGGGAGCCCGAGCCGCTCCCTTTCAGAATGGGTACCTGCCGTGGCCTTGCTTCAGCCGCTTCATCAAATGGCACCTGGACATCATCTTGGGGAGGGGTGTCAGTATCTTGCGTATCAACTTGGTTCTCGAACGTCGAGTCGTTCAGCGGCACCTTAGCATCATCATCATGGTGAAGGACCTCGACCTCCTGATCAACCGAACCGCGGACCACGGCATCGAATGGGGAATCATCTTTGACATCATGTTGGTCGAATTTACTTTGGACCGTGTCCCGACTTGTGAAGCTCCCCTTGGACACAGGTGAATGGGTTTCTGGCGGATGTGAAGGTTCGCATTCATAGACCCTGTTGTTGGCTTTGGGTGTGTTTCCCCCTCGGGATGCATCAATTGGGCTGTGTGGCGACCTTGGGGGGCTCTGAGGAAGTCTTGCGGCTTCCTCGAAGATCTGTTCAATGTCGTTCAAGGCATCATTGAAGCTGTTATGGGGCGAGAGACTTGTTTCAAATCCCAGCCCCTCCTTGTCATCCGTGTAAGAAGATTCGAACATCTCCCTGCTGCCATGATGTTGCAACCGGCCCATGGCATCGACTTCTTCCCTGACATTGAACGTCTCATCGGAGAAAATGCTGTAGTCCAACGTGCTCAGCTCAGATTCTGATACGGTCGTGTTGGCGCTGTTTCCATGTTCCTGTTCTGAGTGTGGCCCAGGAACGGGTGTTGAGAGGATGAACACAGTGGGAGCCGACATTGTGGTGCAGTCAACCGACAGAAAAGAGCCATCTTCTTGACCCATATCATTATTAAACTCTGCGTAGTGGTACTCTGTTTGGTTAGCTGTCGTGCCAGTTGCTGCCGAGGTGCCACTGGCTGCCGTATCATCGGTAGCGGGATTATGACCATAGTTATCGTCTGAGTCTGCTGCTGCCTTGTTCTCGAACATCTTCAACCTGTCCGCAAACCTTGACGTCTGCCTGTTCTTCAGAATGTTTCTCCCTCTCTTGCTTCTGAGCAATGGTTTCTTCTCGTAGAAGTTGTCATCTTTGCTACCGGTGGACGACTCTGATGCTTCAGTTTGAGCCGGTACTTCACTTTGTTCTTGTAAATCGTTCAATGGAATCGGCAGTGACTTTTGGAGCAGCTTCTTCCGTTCTGACAGGGGGCTTCCAACCGAGAACGAGCGTCTGCGCGCCTCTTCCCTGGAGGCTGCAACTTGCTCAAACTTTAACGCCATGGCACGGACACTAGACGTTCTTGGTGATACCACAGTCGGCGACACTACGGGGACATCCTGCCGTTCCTCCTCGACTGGAAAAGATCCCCCCAGTGCGTGTGGGGGTGCTTCCCCGGTCTCCAGCGGTTTCAGCCTTGCCCCGAACGCCTTCTTCTTGGACCATCCAGATCCTTCGTTCATTTCAGCAACAGAGACTTCCTCAGAGCCCTTTGTCGAGTATGAGCCATATCGAGTCATTACAACAGGATTCCGCTACCGTCAGAGTCTGATCATTGAGGCTACTCGATCTCCAATGTTCTTCCTTTTTGCTCCGTCGGATACCACCGAGATCAATTTTGCTGCGCTTCGAACGGATCAGCCAACAAAGAGATGAGCCATCCAAGGTTTGGTGGATCTAGCGAATTGTTGGGATGTTGCGCTTGGTTACATAGCTGACCAACAGTTGAGGAACGTTCTCGCTCTCTAATCACAGAAACACTTAGGTCGCAAGAATCGCTATTTAGATCTTTTGCAGCTGACAAAGGTAGAATACTGGTACATGTACGGAACATAGATGGCGCTGTGGTGTGCCTTCCGCGCTGTTGATGCTCCAACAATTCAACGCACAGGCGCACGGCGTCCTCAATCCTTGGAAACACCTGCTTCATAGAGTTTATAACTCAATCTTCTTCACCCTGCTTGCACAAAGGCTGCATTATTATTGGTGTAATTTTATGGTGCTACTACTGGTACCTGGTAGCTAGTCTAGCTAGGTTTCACAAATCGCAGATACATACATGTCGCGGTGGTACCAGTACTAATAGTCTCCTCTACGGAAAACGCAAGTCAGATTCATACGCAAGACACTTCGCCAACGAATTCCAAAACTTCGCACATCCTTCACCATTCCGACTTAACGGCGACATTCAAAGGAACAGCATCGAAATTAGCATCCTATGGCAAGGCAACCCCATCAGCACTGTCAAGACCTTCGGGACACGACACTGCAGCCTATGCAACAGGGAGCGACTCGAGATACTGAAACGATCCAGAGAATCGCCAGAAAAGCTGATCAACTCCTGCAACGAAATATACGGAGCATGCCGACATAAACCTCGATTTCATAAGTACCACAATAGCCCAAGCACTGATGATTCCCAAGGGGGATGAAAAAGTCAAACAACCGAAAAGTTACCACAGAGTAAAGCCTGTGTTTTAGCGATTCGGCAGTTTGTGAGTAAACTTACTTAGTTCAGTCACTTTTTGCTAAAATCGTATGATACTACTATTAGTACACGCGTACCCAATCCGTGCACAGCACTATTTCGTATTTTAACTGATAGGGTTGGTCTCCATCGGAAGTAGGCTCAAGATTGAATCCTTCTGATCCATTTCCATTGGCTCCATTGGAAGTGTTGTCTTTACTCTGGAATGTTGCTTCTTCAAGTTTGTTGCAGGTGCAATGTGATGCTCCATTTTTAGAGTAGTTGCAGAGCAGGAACCAAGCAATGATTCTGGAGCTTACAACATCAGGAAAATTCTGGGATCTCCCTCCTTCAAGTTGCCTGATATGTTGTGTATTTCTTGTCTTGCAAGAAATTGAATAGATTGGGGCTGGTTGAATGGTCAAAAGGTAACTGAATAAGTATCGGAACGGGAGACCTCCCAACATGCACCCGGTAGAGGTGGCTTACTAAAGCACGAGTCATAGTTTATGACATTGCAACTCGCAAGTAACCTGTATTCCAGGCTTTTCTCGGAACATTATGTCGATTGGTGCATCCAAAATCGTCGCCCTTCTAATAAAAAGGTTTGCCATGCATTGAGTTGCAATCAATCGTCCTTGAAGAATCTAGTCAAACGGCTGCTGTGGGTTGCTGTCCTTGTGATCACCGGGGTGAATCTGTTCGTAAACATCTAGTGAATCAGGCTTCATAATGACATGTTCTTTGAGTGTGACATGATCTTGAGCATTCTTGGACATGACCATTACTCTCAGGACGACAAACTTGTCTTGAAAATCAAAGACTTGCTGATGCATCGCAATGAGCGCTTCTACCCATTCTGTGACCAGAAAGGAAAGGAAGAAACTGGCTTGCCCTTCCACAATCGAGTGATTCGCTGCGACAAACGGGCCAGGACCAAAATTGATGGCTTGTAGGGTCAGGTTGTGTGGCAGTGTTGTCTGCAGTTCTTGTGTCAATTGCTGTGTTTCTTGAAAACTGCTTGTCTTCACCAAGACTCCTCGTGCTGTCCACATGTCATCAGGTCTCGGTGGCTCCTCTTCTATATGGTACAACTGAAGGGAGCATTCCACTGGAGACGCCACAGATACAGCACCGTTGCCGTCCATATCCTCGTCGACAAACATCTCGGCGGCTGCCAGGGCTGCATTTTGCAATGGACGAGAAGTATCCATATTTCGCTGCAATAGCAGATCCATGGGTGCCATTTGAGCCTCGAAATCACCCGTGTAGGCAGGTGGAGTGGCAATGATGAAGAAGCATTCTTGCTGTGTTGCGGCAAGGGTATCCGAGATGATGGGTTGAAACTCTCGAAATATACCCAAAGCATAATAGATCCCAATGCCAGACAAGGCCACGAGGCACGGCAGGAAATATTTGGCTTGGCCAAACAACGACAGCATGTCCTTTTGAAAGGCAAACAGGACAGCAAGGATAGCTACCAACAGGCTAACAACAATTGTAGTGGTCTGCTTTGTGGTGGGCATGGCAAGGTTTTGGACGAAGATCGAAGACCCAAATTGCGTTTTCAACTTGTCGTCAGGGTGACTGTCAGACAAATCTGAATTACAGCTCTGTCGTTTTATTTCCCATTGAAGATGACGTTTGTGTTCTGGGCTCTGGACAAGCACCCCCACAATAACACCCTCATTATTTTTGCTGTCGACCATGATGGCCTACCGCACGGTCGCTTTGCGGCGTAGTAGCGCTTGGCTGGTGCTGCTGGCTGCGTCGTCGCGAGGACTGACTGGCTGTTCTGCTTTGGCGGCATCCACCTCGAAGTCCTGTGGCAACATTCCTAAAAGCTTGCAAGTCCCTCAAGGATTTGACAGTAAAGATGCCTGGCAAAAATCCCCCGTGACGCCTCTCTCCATCCAGGTTGGACAAGTCACTCCTCAAGAAGAGATTTCTGTTTCGGACATGATTTCACGGCACACCACCTCTGCTGGCAAAACGAACGCTGGTTCCGTTGCCTTTGTGGTTCGACGACCTGGGTGAATTTTGTGCCGCGAGGAAGGGCAAGATCTAGCACAACTCGCGGCACAAAACCCCACAGTCTTTGAGTCCTTTGGCCTCTTTGGAATTGTCAAAGAAATTGACGTAGACGACGAAGGATTACTGGAGTTTCACAACGTATACTATCCCTATCCACTATACTTGGATTCGTCCCAGCAATTCTATGCAGCATTGGGTAGTAGGAAGATCACCACGTTGTCCACATGGAATCCCATTCGCATATTCAGAGGGTTCAAAGCAATGGCGGCGCGTCTAAAATCCAAACCCGATCTGCAGGGGAACTACAAGGGTGAAGGACTCGTGCAGGGAGGAATTATTGTCTTTGATGCCCAAGGGAACGCTAGAGCCGTCTACCAAGAAATGACGGGAAGTGAAATCCCCAAACAAGATATCTTGGCGGCATTGCAAGCTCTACAAGAAGAAGTGGCTCTGTCGGAACCCAAGGAGGAGCAATAGATGAAGTCTATGATACGGAAGCGTTCAGCGGAACTGAGTGTAGGTGTAGAGCCTTTGCCGGAATGACGATTTTGTTTCCGTGTTGCTTTCATCCTGGCGACAATAGGAAACACTTTCTGATATTGGCGGCTGTGCACTTGTACTGCTTTCTCTGATCACTACTAGCAGTTAAGACTACCGGTACGCTTATGACACTTACTTGCTGTACTCGCCCGAGATTCGGAGTGACAATCGTGCTCAGGTAGCTGCTTCCCAGCTCGCGGTCTTCGTTCAAGTTGCCAACGACACCATACAGGAGGAGATTGTTCTACGGTACCACTGGACAATGTTTTAATCCAGTGTTGAGCGCTCAGCTGGTACTGCCACCGTACTAAATCATGTTGCTACTTGGTTCTATCCATTGCGTTCAAATATTTCTCTAGTTCTCCAATAGTACATACACATGTAAAGTCACAAGGCGCCTTCTATCCCTAACCGAAGAAATCTGTAGCTGTTCTGTTCTTCCTACCGGTATCGGATAGAGGCAACCCACGCATGAATCCCCCGTTCTGGCGATTAATTCCTCAAGGAGACCTCAGAAAATGCTAGAACCACTGAACCGAGGGAGTCTGCATCAACGAATCTTCGTCTGACATTTTTTTCTGGTTGGTTTTCTTTTTCAATTGCCGCAGGAGTTGATTGGCCCTTTTTGTGTCGCCGCTACTCTTGAGCGCTATAATGACACGGTTGTAGGTGCTGGAATTGGGCTCCACTCCCGCTTGTTCCATTCGCTTCAGCAACTGATCAGCTCTCTTACCAATGTCAGGTGAGTGTGGGGGCTGAACCAAACATTCCAAAACCGTGTTGTAACTGACAACATCTGGTTTCACATTCTGCAAGATTCTGGACTCATGAATGCGTTCCAAGCGTCTTAGTATCTGTTCCGACCGCTTGGATGCTTCGTCACCCATTCCAGACTTGGCCCAAGCGGTCAAGATGAGGTTGAATGTATCCAAGTTGGGGTACACGCGGGAGCCTCGAACATCTTCTTCATACATTTGAGCGAGTACCTCTTCCGTCCGTTTCGGTTGTTTGGTCTTGACAAGAGCTTTCATAACAACATTGTAGGTTTCGACATCTGGTTTGACGTCCTCATCTCCAGCCGAGTACTTGCCCAGCATTTCATTCAGGATGCTTTGGGCGTGGTTCCCACAATTGCTCAGGTCTGCCTTGTGCACACATTCCAGCAAATGCTTGTAACTAGTGGTATTGGGCTTCAGGTCCACCCGTTCTCCGCCTGCGTGCAGTGCCTTCATCTTGTGAAAGAGCTGCATGGCCTTCTGCAAGGCCTCCGGTTGCGACGAGAAGGTAGCCAGTCCACACAAAATGAGATTTGGATGGATTCGATAGTTTCCAAGCTGCAAAAACTGCTTGTGGAGAACATCCACAATGTGTTCGCAACGATCTCGGTGCCCTCCGCGGTTCCAGGCAGTGAGAACTCGAGAATAGGACACGGTATCTGGCGCTACGGTGTTTTCACCGGACTCCCACTTGTCAATCATATTCTCCAGGAGATCTTGGGCACGTGCACCGTCGCCACATCGGGCCCAACAATCCAGCAGAATGTTGTAACTCTGCAAATCGGGTTTCACCCCAGGTAAAACCTTACTGGATGCCAACTTGTCCATGTGTTCGAGAATTGCCTGTGCTCGTGCACCCGCCTTTTTGCGTTTAGCCTTGGTTTTGACCTTGGACCAACCCATCAGCAAGTTATTAAAGAGTTCAAGACTGGGCTGTAATCGTTTGTCGTGGTCCCGCTTACAGTAGTCCTTGTACAAGTCGTGTAGGAGATCTTCTGCTTTGTCTGGATTCCCTGCTCTCCCCCACGCCGCGACAACAACCGAATAGAGTTCGGTGGGTGGCCGGAAGTCTTCTTCACCTTTGTTAGCTTTTGCCTTCAAGATATCAAGGATACCCTGCGCTCGTTTGGCGTTCAATTCGGAGGTTTGATTTGGTGACTTGATTACGCAGTCCATGACCCACTTGTATGTGGACGCATTGGGTTTGACGCTGGCCAGTGCTCCTGTTTGTGAATACATGTCCATCTTTTCGAGAATCTGTTGGGTTCGCTCGGCTGCAACAGACTCATTGGAGCTTGCCCACCCAAGTAGGACCAAATGGAACGACTGCCTATTGGGCTTGGCAGCAATGGCTCCGCCGCCCTCTCGTCGGTTGCGATATTCATTGAGCATAAAGTCCAGAAGGCCCTCCGCTTGATATGGATCTCCAGCATCGACCCTTCAAGTTGGAGGCAAAGCGTAAGGATACAGAGCATGTCTAGATCAAGACCTTCTAAAGAACCAGATTCTACTGGACTTACCATGCCTTGATAACTTGGTTGTAGGTGTGGGAGTATATCAAGCCCTTGCGCCGTGAATCGACTGTTCTTCTCAGTAGCGAATCCGCTAGATAAGGCTGGCTATAAGCAGCTCCATCAATGATCATTGAGTATACTTCTGGATCAAGTTCAATGCAGTTATACCACACTTCGACTTGCTCGATCATGTCTTTTGGCTCGAACGTGGTGTACTTTGACGCTCTTTGACCTTGGTTCCAGTTCTGGATGACGGCCTTTAACCAGAACATCATTTGACTGTCGCTCCATTTGCTGGCCTTTTCGTGTTCTTCCACCATTCGATCAAACAAAATGATGGACAGATGAACACTCTCTTCTGTTCCTTGTTTTGTCCAGTACTGAATCAAGTCTCCCGCTTTGTCCCAATCCAACTCCCCCAATTTGAAATTTCCTTTGCTGATCAGCTGCATCGTAGCCTGCTTCATGTCTTGTTCTGCCATGGGGTGGGGATCTCGTTGATCTTCTTCTTCTTCTACTGCTGCAGCAGCAGCGGAAGTATCTGCTAGCTCATCGGCTTCTTTTGCAACTCGGTTAGCAGCTTCCATGGCTCCAGACAACGATTTGTTGTTGTTGTTGTTGTTCTGATTCGGACTCTGCGTCGAGTCTTCGTCAAGAAGGGTCCGTCGCTTACCACTACCAGTCAGAAACGACAGGCAGTGCCCAGGTGTGGCATGTTCCTTTTCCAGTTCTCGTCTCCACGAGTCTACCATCTTCCGTTGCGTCGACTCACGCGTAGAGCTGGTCGCGGTCTCGTTATCAAAGTCAACCCATCCTTGCGAGGAGGCTCGTTCTGAGTGTGAAGAGGCAGTCGTTCTACTACTAGACCCATGTATCCTTCGTGAACGAGAAAGGAAACGCATCTTCGATCGTCTTTATAATGGGATTGATGGTAGGATGATCTGTTACCGGTAGGTGGAAAGAGAGTCGAGTCGATCGTTGGATAGGCTTCTGTTTGACCAGCCCCAGACCGAATCGAATCGAGGGTCTTGAATGCCTTTTGGCGGCAGCATGCGCAAAAAAATGAACGCCTCTGGGAGCACAGCCAGCCCACCATTCCACATGCGAGACAATAAATCCTTATCTCGCCAATTCGGTAATTAGACCGTTGGGACAGTTGAGAAACGGCCAATCTGGGATCATTCCCATCAGGGTTAGAGGCATCTTTTCGCGGAAGCCCGTTCTTGGCAACGACACCAAGGTCGGTGGATGGATGCACGGATCATGATCTTTCGTGCTGATGCTGGAGCTCAGCAAGCATACCGGTACCGTAGCATAGGTCAGTGTTGGCCCTGGAGTTGGACTGGGTGCATGGCCAGGTATGGGAGCAGGTGTAGGTCCGGGTGTAAGGTCTTGATTTGGGTCAGCTTTGTGAAGGCCAGGCTGCACAGCAAGCATTCACACCATTTGGCTGGCTGCAGTACTACTGGTACCAGTGGCACTCGAGGCTCTGCTGAACAAAGCTATTAGCGAGCTATGATGTGACTGTGAGGCACCGAGTGTACTGGTACGAGTCCTTCAATAGAATGCCTCAGATAGTTGCCCACTTGGAAGGAACAAGCACTAGAACACAACATCCTGATCGGCACCGGTTCTTGCCCCCAGTTGCCACGGTACTGTAAGAGCGAAGAGCGGAAAGCAAAGCATACCGGTTCATCAAGGAGCGAGCAGCGGTAATTTTGACGGGGAGAGTGGGAAGAAGAAGCAAACAATTTCCAAGGCACCAAGCTGTTTGGTATTCCACCAAACACTGCAGGCCAGATTGATGAAAGCAAGTCTGCATGGACATGTATTGCATGGATATTGACTATCGCATGTTGCATGTGAGGCCTGGGGCCTTTCTAGCTAGAGCCGCGAAAGACAAGCAAGAACCTACCAGTACATGTACTTTTACACGCACCCGCACCGCACGTGCTGCTCGACGACGGTTACTACGATACCACGTTACCACTACTAGATAGCTGCGGTAGTACATGACCACTTTGCTCAACCCCTTGGAAACTGATCAACAGCCCCAACATGGTTGTCAGCAGTCCAGTACTAATGCTGTCTCCCAACGTCCAGATCATCGATAGAGGAACTACTCGTGCTCTTCCCACTCACCCCTTTCTTTCGTAGAAGATGCCGAAGATAGTTTGCCACATGTACCTCTACTCTTGCGAGATAGACAGCTAGCTGTTATAGATAGAGCAATAGGTACATGTAGTACTTTGGCAACCGCATGGGGCGATGGGCTCATCGACCAGTTTTGCACATGCGGCAGCAAATCCTTTGTGCGTGCCAACATGGGTCCTGACGCACGGAGTTTCTTGTTCTGACATACGAAACAGCTTCCACATCATATTAATAGTCACGGCGTCACACCAGCTACACTCCAAACTCACATATAAGAAATCTCTAAATTCGGTGCAGCCCTGGGCCTTTCTTACCGTACATCACCATTTTTGCCCCTCAGATTGTTTCTAACAAAACAAGCCAATTTCAGCATAGAAGACTTTCTTACTATGCTTCTAGGTCAAACAGGGCAGTGCTTGGATACACACAATGAACCTGGCCCTTTTGGTTCAACTTGCTCAGGAATCATAAATTGGGTTGGATCAAATACAGATGGTGATCACTGTGTCTGCCGTGAGGCAGAAAATTTTGCAGATGTAAGCACAAGTTTGAAGCATTTTCATGGTGTCAGACTAGTAGTATTTCTTATGCTTTGAGGTCTTAATACTGGGAAGCTTTCTTACAAGTCTGTGATATTTCAGCATCAAGAGTTCTTAACATTCTCTAGAATCTCAGGGCTCGCTTTCTTATAGTGGAGTTTCTTATATTCGAGTTTGGAGTGTACTAGCTCAGGTAGCTAGCTAGTGTACATGTAGATCCTGAGCGTTGTAAGTCTATTGATCCAGCACAGGAATCACCAGAGTCGCGGGTACTAGACTAATAAAATAGTAGACTAGATCTAGCTGGTCAGATCGTCTAGATGATGAGACTTGTGTTGGTGTGGGTCTCAAGTCTCCAAGGACCAGCAACCGCCGTGGTCATCTATTTCTTTCTTGTCGTTCCTTGTTCCTGCTTTCTTCTTTTCGCTCAGATCAAACCGTTCCTTGTTCCTTGGGATTGGCAACCGGCAGTTGTTTGAAAGCAGCTGGATCAAGATGCCAGTGGTTCCAACGAACCATTTCAACGAGTTCTCTTGTGGGCTGTTTGCTGTGGGACCAGTTTCAGAGTGTCATCCCATATATCACTATTTCCTTTGCTGTGATGAATACTGCACAGCATTATCTCTTTTCTCTTGACCTTACCACTCTCGAATCGATTAAGATTTAGTCGTATGTTGAATGATATTTTTGTATGCACGTGAGTCGAGCTTTTGCTTAGACCATGAGTGAAGTAGCTGTGAACTGCTACTTCACTCATCTTTAAAGTTGCTTCCCGTCCTGACTAGGTCCCCTCAAAACTGCATGGCGCTTGGTCTATCTGCACAGGCACACCATTGCGGAAGTGAGTGAACAAAAAGCGCAGCGAGGAAAGAGTTCCTGAGTTCCTGTGCATGCAAGCAAGGTCGAGTTTGCAGCAAAATTGATGGAGAGCACAGCAATAGTTAGCAGTTTGAGAAGGAAGGAAGCAGTCAATCAATTCAATCAATAGCATCGTCCATAGGGTAGCGCCATGTCTACCACTACGAATACAACACATCCAATAGACGACAGCAGCCACACCAACGATTGTGGGTTTGACCACCACCACAGTAACGATAACGACGATGGTCCCATTTGGTATTTTGGCTACGGCCCAATAGTGCACCCGTCCGTACGACAACGAAGGGGTATTCGTGTGACAGACGAACAACCCGCCGTATTACGAGATCATCGACTCACGTTTGCATTCGGGGGAATCGCTAGCTTGGTGGCTCAGACTGGCTATGATATTCACGGCATTGTCATGCGATGTGAGACCGAGAGTGATTGGGAAAAGCTGAAAGAGCAAGAGGCAGGGTTCCATGCCGCCCCAGTAAACGTACATCCCTACCGAAGAGTGGCCAATTTCGCCTACGACTCGGAAGTCTGTCCATTATCGCCCGAACTAGATGACAACGACGATGATGATGACGATGAGGATTCTATAGTACCTCCGATTAAAGCATACGCTTTTGTGATGGACGAGTTTGACAAGGACAAACTGGATCGACCCATTGAAAAGCTTCCGCAAGAACGTTATCTACGACTGATAGCTGCTGGAATGTACAAATACAATGGAGACGAAGACTACATTGAAAGTGAAATCATGGGAGTGCCATTCTCTCCGTCACGAAAACCACATGAATACCTGACGTTCCCCAACTGGAATCACAACAACGAGCAAACCAAGGGGACTGTCGTCTATTCCGCAGCCGACAAGACGCTACCTTCAATTACCTATTCCCGATACAAAGACTTCTGCCGCCAGACGGCCTTTTTAATGATGGGAGATGGCTTGAACAATGCATCCGTCGCATCGGTGCAGTCGGCTTCCACATCGTCGGGGGATTCGCCACAGTACACATCGCTCTGCTTCATTGTGGGCAACCACGTCGTTTGGGTGCCACAGCATGATCCCAAACATGCCGGTGCTCGATGGCTGCGCAAGTACGGATTCGCCAAAGAAGATGTCAGCTACATGCTGCACACCTTTGTCATTGATCCCGATATACCCTACTGCGAAACACCCGCACAAGTATCGCCGCCGGTACAAAACTGGGCCGAAAACCAATTGGTGATATCGGTCGCACAAGGGCTCGATGCCTATCGTACCTTGAAACTGGTGGAGGATTCCGCCGAGGAAAGTCCGGATATTGAAAGCGTCTTGGCGCGCCTCTTGCAGTCGACACAACCTGGAATGCTAACAGTCGCAAGTAGTGTGACGTCCATGGACTCGGCCACTAGTTCTCCGCGACCTCGAGGCCGCACACGTCAAATGGCGGGCAGTCTGATACAGAATGCCTTTCGGCGTGCCGGCAATCGAATGAGGACGAGTACGACCAATAGTCATAGCAGCAGCGTCACTGACAGCAGCACGACCCCCGCCCAAAAGCAACCAGACAAGAGCGCCAGTCTATCACCCACACGGCGACAGGGAAGACGGCGGAGGTGGTCGTTGCAAATGAGAAAATCTCCGGCGGCATAGCTGTTCTTCGATTGCAAAGTCATCTTGATGAAGCAAGGTGATATGAATTGGTTCCACAAGCCGCTCGGTGGACTGCCTAGACGATTTGGTACGAGCAGGATCAAGACTATTTGGTTTCGGATGTAGCTGTTCGTTCCGATGAGCAAGCCAGATGAGCATTCACCTACGAGTGCTGCTTCTACTAGGTAATCACGCACAGTTGCATGCGGACAGCTTTGGTTCGACACCAGCACTAAGCGGCCATACCGTACCGGTACTCCACTTGCCCATCACCAATCTATTGGGACCATTCCTTGTACGGTAGTGGTGACGGGGCGGAAACCAAGTCAATTCTTGTCAAGACGAGGAATGCTTTTGCTTCGAGTATACTACACCGGTAAGCCGGACCGTCTGTTGGGATCTGAAGGATGTGGATGCTGCCACCCGGCCTCGTTTAGCCCAGGTCAAGACCCAGTAAATCGCTACTAGCTATTGCCATTTTAAGCTTCAAAGCCCGTGTCACTGATTTCCCTATACCGGCACCTGTTTTCACTAGAACTCCATCCGCCATGGGCGTTTTCTTGGATGCTTTGACTGCTCGTACCGTATGACTGCAAAAACAGTCGTGCAGTCAGCGTTTTAGCTCTTAAACCATCGTCGTCTTTGGTGGAGACCCCCTTTTCTAACTGTTCATTGCCAGGGATCATGCTGTCTCTCTTTGGCTACCAGCGCCATAGCACAGTTTGAAAGACCGCAAAGCTTTTTTCATGACTTCGTTGCCTGAGCGGCCTTCCTGCGATAAACCAAGTGTGTACGTAACGTTATCCTTAAAATACTTAACTAGCTAATGAGGTGCTGCTGTAGAATAATGGTTGAAAACACGTGATAAATCTTTTTTCTACCACTCGCTGGGAACCACCCAAATTCCAAATTCTGTGCCACCTCCCGCTTTTGTTTTCCCTTTTCTATCGGAGCCTCATTGTTTGTCCAGTTATCCCTTTTTTTTAGAAAAGCACAGGACCATGGAGGACACGGAAGACGCATCCAATGCCAAGTTTGTGAATGCCTCTGATACGGGAGAGATCCCCTCTTTCAATGGCGATGAGAAGGCCAAAGCAACGGATTTTGCCAATTATTTCTGCAGCTATGCGCAACTGTACCATCAGAAGCAAATGCTGGCGGACCACAACCGCATGGCAGCCTACCATTCTGCCATTTTGGGAAATTCATCTGTTTTCAAAGACAAGGTTGTGATGGATGTGGGAACTGGAAGTGGAATCCTAGCTGTTTGGGCGGCTCAAGCCGGGGCACGAAAAGTCTATGCAGTCGAATATACCGACATGGCCAAGTATGCCAAGCGAGTCATGACAGCGAACGGAGTCGATAATGTCGTCACTGTCATTCAGGGTGCCGTGGAGGACATTGAACTGCCAATGGAAGAAGATGGTCTGGATCCAGAGGGTCCCGTGGATATCATGATCAGGTAGGTCTTGTTTTTTGAAAAACCAACACAAATGACAATATTGGGCTGCATGACTGTTTCTACCTTGCTGAGAGTGAAGCTTGTCTTGTTCTTATTTACTAACTTGTTGTTTCCTCGTGTGTTCTTTTCTTCCATTTGGCATGCAGCGAGGTAAGTTTTCGCTCCAAGTTACTTCTACTTTTACAGCTTTGCATCAAATCTTTTAAACCTTACAATTTACATTGAATCACATTGACGCTTGTCATTGATGTTAACTATTGGATTCCTTCAGTGGATGGGATATTTTTTGCTGCGAGAAAGTATGATGGACTCTGTGATTCGCGCACGTGACAAATTCTTGAACAAGAAAACAGGTCTGATGTTTCCCAGTCACTGTTCCATGTTTGTGGCTCCCGTCAGAGATGAAGATGATCGAAAGCAAAACAACAACGAATACGCCGGTGCCATGTCGGACTGGCACGACTTTGCCGAAACGACTCGAAACATGTACGGAGTCGATATGGATATCCTTGAGAAGGACTTTGATAGGGAACAAAAGGAGTATTACTTACTTTCCAGTCGCTGGACCGAACTGCAACCAGAGGTGCTCTTAGCGGAACCCAAAATGATCAAGCAATTTGACATGGCCACTTGCACTCTGGAGGAAGCACGTGGAATTACCGCGGGCGAACCAGACGCTGTGTTTTGTTTTGATATCAATGGCACGCGGAATCTTGGCCCCGTGAGTGCTATCGCAGGATGGTTCACCTCTGATTTTAGGTCTCGAACAGATGAGCACGCTGCAATTGCTCCCAAAATTGAGAATCCATCCTTCCTGAGCACTGGACCAGAACAGGGGTACACTCACTGGGGTCAACAGACCTTTTACTTGTTGTCGCCTCTTCCTCTTTTGAAAGGAGAGATTACTCGTTTGGAAGGGAGCATTGAAATGACAAGGACGAAGGAAAATGCACGTCTCTACAATTGCAAGTTCAAAATTCAGAATTCACGAAGGAGACTTGGCCAGGAGGATGGTCAAGTGCTCATGAAAAGCCCTGTGCAGGAAAATGTTTATCAGATTCCATAGTGCTTGGTTTTGCCACTCTTTGCCCACACGGAATCATGTTTCTCTTGCACAGAATAACAACAATTGCATACTCCCGTTACCACAGTGAGATAGGGTTGCTAAAAGATCCACCTATTTAGCGCTATCATGTGTCCATGCCGGTACCATCAATACATACAACTGTAGCGCTGGTACCATTTTATGGTACCGTAGGAACAAGCCATTCAAAGCGCTGTATCTTCCTGCTTCTCTGTGGAGATTGAACAATGATCATAGTTAGCCAACAACCATGTGTCTGCGTGCGTGGGGTCAAGTGCAACCACGTACCGTGAAGACCACTTGCTTGGAATCCATGATGTATGTAGTTCAGTCCATTTTGGAGCATCTCATGAAACTGTATCTGGCCGCCTGCAAAATCAAAGATAGACTATGCCCCAGTGACCTTGGCCTTGAGATCATAGATGGTCTTCAAGTCAATATCATGCCAGAATGCTACCTCCATGAATGTCCAACTTGAAGGGGAAGCTCTCCCCGCGGGCATCCAGTCTCGCAAGAGTAGTACGGTACTTGTATTCGGTGTTGTGTTTGTCTCCTGTACCTGGGATCCCTTGCCTCATTTTGTATTATTTTAGCTGAGTGAGACACTCGTTTCGACATGTTTGACACTCCCCTTATGCAGGTTCCACTGCACTCATGTGTTGATTACACCGTACCCAACCCTCAACTTACTCAGGTTTGGTGGCACTCGCTACGCTCCCTTACCTCACCTTCGGTTGCTACGATGATGAGTACAAGCAAATACGAAATGGATGGCAGGATCAAGCCATTCAAAGCGTTGTATTATAGTTACCGTTACCCGCACCTCTTGTTTGTGATACCGGTATTCCTTTTGGCCTGGTGTGGGGTCTTTCTATTAGTACTGTATCACCAAAGCATACTACGAGACGACAGGAATCCTATCATTGTTTTGCCCACGCAGTCTATCGTTAAAGCTTTTAAATATGCATCTACTTTCCTAGTAGCTGCCACTGCTGTCATTACGCCATAACCACTAATTAGTCTTGATATTGCCTCTGACATTCATTTGTTGTTCCCACAAGCCTTGAGAATTCTGTGCGGTGACTCTTCATCTACTGCAGAGTAATTTTTGTAGGTGTGGGTCTAGTGACGAAGGAAACTGCATGTGTGATGATGCCCTGTCGTTTTTGTTTGAGCTACCGTTGTTGGCTCCTGGTTTATACATGTAGCTTGTGATGGAGCGATTTAGCGTGGTAGGGAAATCAGTACGCTTCTCGCAGTTCTATGCGAGCTTCGTTGTCAATTTCCATGATCAGACTTGAACTGGATATGCTATGATGAATGGGCGTGTCGTTCACAGGCAGCATCAGCGTCTCGAACATGATATTGTGTCGACGATTTCTGCATCTCTCAGCAATGCGGCTTCTGATTTTCATTTGGCGGCGCTCTTGCTTGAAACGACGAAAGTCCTCCTGCGAGTAGAAGAGATCTCCATTCTTTGACTTGTCTTTCCATTCCACTGGATAAACCTCCGATACAACGTTGTCGGGAAACGACACGGACTTCTTGATGCCACTGCCAGTGTTGTTGATTATCGTCATCATGTTCAGAGTACCTATCAACCTTCACCTTATGCTATTGTCGAAAGACAACGAAAACCAATGCTAATGCCGTGCCTCCAAAACAATGACGGTCAACAAGCCTTCGCCTGCATTTTAGAGAAATGATCTGGGAGGTTTCGCAGAAATAGTAATGGCGATTTTGTTGCTTTCAAACTCACGTGATTGTCCGGATTGCTCACCTCGACCGTTGGATGCCTGATGAAATCGAAATCAACTCCCACCGACTGCAAAAAGAGATTTCCGAGCCGGCCATGCTGTCACGCAATTTTTCCTTCACACCAAAGCATGGGTCCTGATGAGCGATGGAGGAACGAATCGAATCGGAAGAGAATCGGTGGAGAAAAGCGGAACAATGGGATCCGTGTAGCCACCGATAGCTCGCTAAAGCTGACTTGTAAACGGAGTAGAAATCCCGAAGATCAGCAAAACTTAGGAGACGTCTATCGTGGTTAGCTACAAGTAGATGGAAGCAAGGCGTCCTGATTCTTCAGCTTATGTCAACCGGCTTACATCCCTTATCTTGGTTTCGCCGTGATCGCGAAATAAGACCCATTCGCGGGAGCCCTATCATAGCTGGTTGTTGCCGTGGATTTCAAGCAGCACTTGTCAGATTAATTCAGCTCTTCTAGCGAGCGAACGAACTGACATGGGCACTCCCGCGTTTGTCAAAGCTGTCTAAAACCTTCTTATCTTGGCTTGTTCGCCGTGGTGGCGAAATAAGACCGGACAGGTATGCTAACCACTGCGCTGCAAGCGTATTGTCAGAACTGTGACCCTCTAATCCCTGAATGAAGCCTTGGCAATCCTTGACGGAAACGGCTCCTCAAAGTGGATATTCATGGTGTTGTCCTGCGTTAATCCTTCCACATTGACCACAGTGCGAATTCGCCAGTTATAGTCAATGACAACTGGTTCATGTACAGAACTTTCGGATCGTTTGCTAGCAGCATTGATGAACCATGTCAACAATCGTGTGCCCCCCTGGTCATTGACGTCCGTGGTTTCTACCCCGCCCCTTTCCCAATGATAGTGCCCACCGCAGCAAATCGGAATTCGTCGTTCCAAGGTAAATTTGGCCAAGTTGTGGCTACCGTGGAGCTTTTTCCTTTTCTGGGGGTGTTTCTGATGGAGACGTCCGGGTACATGAGCCACAACAATGTCGACTGGAGTTTCCTCGTCTGGTAGGCCCTTGAATTCGTCCTCTTTGCAACTATTCCATGAATACCCATGCACTCGCAGACGGCCATTGGCGCATAGCGCAGTTTCATCCTGGAGAAACTTGATAGACCCCACCTTTTCGTGGCTGCGCGAACTACTGATATTGGAAAATTCCTCTCTCAAGTCAATGGCATCCGGGTTGTTTCGATCCTGATCATGGTTTCCATCCACAACAATTCGGTCTGTGAATTGCGTTTGTTGCTCCAACCATCGCCGAAAATTTCGTACCCCGGATATGTTTCCGTAGCTGGTAAAATCTCCACAGTGGATCAAGACATCCACACCATGACTGGGCAATTTCAGAAGCGAGTGTTGCTGGTGGGTATCCGAAATAACAACGATTCGAACAACGTCATTATCCAGTGGTGGATGATTCGTGGTGGGAGAAAATCTGTTTCTGGAATTGGAGGGAGCTCCATTGAAGATTGATCTTGTGTTGCTTCTGGATAATATATTTCGTGGAATTCCTCTGGCCAAGGCCATTTGTTCCTTTCTCGATTCTTCGTCAACTACTAGTAGCTCTGCCTTTCTCGTCATGCAAGTGTAACTTCTCAAACTGACAATGGAAAACAAGAAAAGAACTATTAAGCGGATGCGTCTTCGTCCGATACCGTTGCGTTTACGCATTGACTGCAAAGGATACTGCTAGTAATGAAGTTCTCGACGGCACAGAAGACGCCCAATCATGGTGACTGATGAAGACTACTGTGGTAGGGATGGAGACGGGTGTGGTGTGGAGTGGGTGGAAGAGATGATCCAAACTGAAGGGTCGAATGTGCGTCTTTTATTAAACGCGAGCCAATCACAGTTCCAAGACAAGACGAGCGATGCTGCTCGTCCCACCTTTTACCAGCTACAGTACATTTACCTTATTGTAGGTGGGGGTGGTGACAATATCTGGTGGCATGTAAATGTAGTGTCTGTTTCCCAGGCAGACTAAGAGGACTTCTTTGTTGTTGGCTAGTTCGGGTGCAGGCAATGTCCGTGACAAGCCAAAGTCAAAAAATGACACAACATCCTATTCTGGATGGTCCGGGTTGACTGTTTTGAAGCCAATGTTCTGGGGCTTGAGACACAAAAGATAATGTGAATTTGATGTGAAAAGCCGATTGCAGTAGCAATCTGTCAGGCATAGGTTGTTTTGAGATTGGTGGCACTGTCAAGGTAATAGGAAGGCCCCATTGTCATCCTTTCTGCGTTACAGCACACAATGGCATCTTCCAGTGTCTTTACAGACAATCCAGGCTGGGGGGAAATCTCGCTCGATTCATGTTTAGCAGTAGCCAGCAACAGCCAAAACTTAGTACTGCAATTCAGTATCTTTTTGTTACTTTAGAACGTACCTGGAATAGCTTCAGAGACGTCCAGCTCTTGTACGGAAACCACACCAGTGCCCCTCTCCACCCGAGTGATTTGGAAACCATTTCCCGACTTCCCTACACCAGCACACACCAGCACATGGCGTGTGGATAGTTTGATCACCGCTTGCAGCTGCTGCACTTCCGATGACGTCAACAGACGGGATCCATCCTTCAATTGTTCTTCTGCTAACCCCACTCAGACTTCATTTTGGCTGGTGAAGTGGCAGATCGGTTGGTCCAAAGTGATAATGAAATCTATGGATACGATCTCAACTGTCAGTAGCCCGAGTCCGAGCCATCCGGTGACTTGCCTATCTTTTCAAGCTCTAATGTATCCATTGGTGCTGTCTCTTGGTCTACTCTTGCGGTTGTCGCGGCATTGCTCATTCGTGGTTTTGGGCTGGTGATTGTGATGAGACGCACCTCTCCTTGTTTCCGACATGTTAGACTACCCGTCTTTACTCGATTGGATCTGACAAGCTGTCCTTCTATGTCTTAGCCAATCAACTACAAATATGTTGTTAATGAGTGCGCACCGAGAAGCCCTAGCTAGCTTCCCCGAGCTTTCATGCTTTCGCCTACCTTCATTTACTAAAAGAGTCGTTGAATGATCCATCATTTCGGTGGCGGTAGCCAAGCTGGTACCTGTACCGGTCGGTATGTGCCAATTGAAAACTGCCCTCTCATCTTGAGTTCCAAAGCTGTGTTTTTGGAATGTGTGCCAGTGCCAGATGACACCTGTGAACGAACGCTTCTGCAGAGGGTCACTTTCCCTACCTAGTGCCATTTTTCGTTGCTGCAATTTTCTTGTTCCATATTAATGTTTGCTAGCTAGCGATAGTCTTTTTCTCTTTTTATATTTATCAAAAAGATCCTACTGTTTGTTGCCTGCCACTTGCCTCTTGGGATTCTTGGCCAACCACACGGCACAGTATCCAACCTTGACAATGTCCACCTCGTCAAAGTATTCCTCCAAGAGAGCCGTAAGGTCCGCGAATGTATCACCCCGATTCCCAAAGATCCCCAGTTCATTGTAGAGTTGATTGGTTTGAATGGCATAGGGACCCGCCATGACCGCATCTTGTTCCAACTCGAATCCCAGAATGGTGCTTCCAAAGAAAACTCCTTGCGGGTTTAACAGACTGGCACAGGATCGAATCGCATTGCTCTTGTCTTGCATGGATTTACCATGAAGACAGTGCAAGAGAAAATTGGCCGCTACAGAATCAAAGGAATGCTGTAGGCGTTTGGGTGGGAGCGTTTGAATGTTGGCCTGAACCTTGTCAATGGACAACAAAGCTTGATTGTTATTCTCTGCAAAGAACTCTTCCTCTTGGAGACGTTGGTAGCAGCCTTCTAGAGAGGAGGGACTCAGGTCCATCAATGTCAAATTCTCGAGTTCTGCTTGGTCTGTTGCATTCTCCTTGGATTGTGGCAGTCTTCGGGCCCACTGTCGCAAAAAGAGACCCGTTCCCACGGCCACTTCACAATGCCGTTTCGATCCTGCCAAGCCTTTTTGATACAAGGCATCAATTTCCTGTCGTTGAATTCTCCAGTGAAAGGGAGCATTGAAATCCCAGACGAGAGCATCGTAGGCATCCAATGTCATGGGAGTATAGACTGCTTCGGATGTCTTTTTAGTGTTGTTGGAACTCAATAGCTGCTGTTCCAGAAAGGTGTTGATCCGACGTGTCAAGACACCAATGCGATGAAGATTTTGCAAATCAGTATTGTCGTGAGTTTCTTTTTCTGCTGTCATGGAACGCAACGCTTCCTGTACACCTTCGGGCAATCCGGCCAAATGGGTGCATGACTGCCATTCCGTTCGCAATGCCGCGACAGAGGGCCAGAGACGATCCCAAGGGTTGACTGAGGACAGCGCTCTCATGGTGGTGGTTGTTGTGGCGGTGGCTTGGCGGCTGGATAGCATGTTGTAGTTTTATTCTGGTTCGGTTTGTCTTGTTTGTGAACTCTCCTGTAACAGAGGATCAAGATTGATGACTGTTGAACGTGGCTTGATAACCTTGTTGTGGATACTACATAGCAGGCTCACCAGTTCCACATCAACGCAATTTCTTTGTGGTCATCTTACTAGCTAGTATTCTTGGCCTTTTTCCTATAATGTGACTGGTGTTGGCCAAGCCAAAAAGGCCAACAAGATGAGAAAGATCCCACCACTCCTGTGGGCAACAAGGTTTTGTCATGCCATCGTCATCACTTCAATTGCCGGCTAGAGCATCACAGTTGTTGTTGCTGTCGTCGTCATGTAAAGAAGTCTAACGACCACCACTTGCTTGACATTAGCATTCTCTTGTCATCTACCCGTAGCTAGCTAGCTAGCTAACGGTAGCTAGCCAAGTGGTTACTGAATTCAATCGAATGATTGATTCAATCATCCTCGCGTGGTCCTCGCCTAACAAGCAAACGAGGCAGGAATGGAATGATGAGTCGTTCGTACAAGTACAGTGGCGAAAGCAGTCCAGAGGATGGGTCCATGGTCCATGATGGATACGGTACCACTCTCATCAATCCTCATGTAACCAGCAACTGCAGCCCATTCATTCGTTGGAACGAACCACCCCCACTCTTTCGCGATCCTGCGTAGAAACATGCACGTATGATGTCAGCACCGGATTTCGGTGGTTCACATTTCTCGGAACATCTAGCGTTTTCCGGGTGTAGAAGGACAGTGGGACTCGACTCCGTTCAAGTGGGAAGTCGTGCCGGGTTGCCACTCCGTCACAACACAAGCAGCTTCCCGCACAGGCAGGCCATTCCATGTGTTCTCTTTGAGCTTCCCTTTGTTTCCGTGCTGGAGTTCCTGCAACATCCATCCAAAACGGCGGGGGCTCGGAAGGGTTTCTCTTCCGCTCACAAATTCAGTTCAAGTTGACACGAACGCAAAACCAACAAAGCGAATTCCGTTCACAAATAGAATACCACCACCACCACCACCACCACCTCCACTCTTCTTCTTCCCATTATTTTATAGTAGATAGATACATTCCAACACATCAACAACAACAACAAATATGACCATGCACATTCCAACTCTCCGAGCCAGTAGTAGCAAACCTCGTCGTTCCGACGAACTGATAAAGGATCAAGTCCGATCGTGCCAAAATGTGGACATGTTCATGCAGTCGTCGGATCGATTAAAGGGAACCCAACAAGACTTGGCACTCTTTCATCGACATGAGATTGAAGTAGGATCTCTCGTGGGTGCGGGATCCTTTTCCGAAGTCTACGAGATTACCTCCTTTGGAACAGCAGTGCCTTCCAATAAGAAGAGCAACAAGTGGAGCAAATCATCTGCGGTAGCACCTGATGCCATCGGCACAACTACCACCACAACAACAATGGACCCCGTCCGCCGACGCCGACGCAATCAACTCGTTGCCGAACATGAAGATAACACCAGAGATCAAAACCGCTACGTCATCAAACAGCTACATTCCAAGCTGCTCAGCGACCCCAAACTCTTTCGTCGAGCTGTCAAGGACATGGCTACCGAAGCCAAAATCATGTCACGTCTCACCAACCATCCACACATTGCCCATCTGCGAGCCACTGCCATTGGTGGCACTAGCGCTTTGGAAAATGGACAACACAATAGCTACTTTTTGGTTCTAGATCGTCTGGTGGAGACACTGGAAGATCGCATTGTGCGATGGAACCAAGAAAAGATTGCCATGGGACCTTCCTACTACCTGGACAGTGCCACCAATGATGCCAAGATGGATCTCAAAACAAACTATGCTTGGCAGATTGCTTCCGCACTCGACTTTTTGCATCAGAATCACATTATCTTCCGCGATTTGAAGCCTCAAAATAGTGGCTTCAAAACAGTCAACCCGGACCATCCAGAGCAGGATGTCGTGGCACTTTTTGATTTTGGCTTGTCCCGGACTCTCCCCGCACCCGAACAAGCCAATGAAGACGGTCTCTTTCGCATGTCCATGGTGGGAACCAGACGCTACATGGCACCTGAAATTGTCACCACCCGTACCTACAATGCCAAGGTTGATACTTACGCCTGGGGACTCGTCTTTTACGAGCTAGTCTCGCAACAACGACCCTACGATGGTATGCAACGGGGCGAACACAAGCAATACATTTGCATTGATGGAAAACGACCCAAGCTGTATTCCTACTATGGGTTGCCTGCAGAACTGGAGCGTCTCATTCGGTTGTCATGGGCACAAGATGTGTCCCAGCGCGTCACTATGGCCGAAGTGTGCCGTGTTTTGGAAAACTACCTCGCAGGGACCATTCACGAAAATGCCGTCCAAGAGATTTCTACTCGCAGCGGTCCCTCCCAAGATGCCAGTGTTTCTTCCTTGCTCACGGGCCAAACGGAGCAAACCGAGTCTACCGAAGAGTCTCTTTCTTTTGAAGAGGAGGAGGGATCCAATACCAACTCGGCATCATCGTCATCACAGTGTAGTCTTCGACCGGCCGCAACCGTTGCAATTTCAACCAACGCCATCATTCCGAGTGATGTCTCGGAAGCACGAGCCGATGTAGCCGAGACAGTCCCACAAGCCATTTCCGTTTCCGCGTCCACTTTGATACTACAACACGACACGAGGAACCCCGTTGCTCCAGAAGAACAACCCACAAGACGGCACCGATTGACGTTTTGTGAACGTATCACCAACATTTTCAGATACAGTGTCCGCATGTTTTGCTAAACTAAAGCTTTCCTGTTTGTTCCATTAGTGATGTCAAGTACCAGCCAGTCATAAAAACTAACTTATCTAATAATAGAAGATTGCGATAGACCCAACTTGATTCTACTCTATGCATGGATTATGGCGATTACTGGCTAGCTACTAGCTAGCTAGTGTTCTGAATGTGTGAGCGGGGAGGTGGTGACTGCCCTTGTGGTTGTGCCTGTGGCTTTCTAAGAATGCAGTCTTGAGTGTTCCAGAAACTTCCTTGGCTTCTTAAAAATGGTTGCTGTGCAATGCTGTCAATTCTGTTTTTGCATCCATCTTGGTTGCTAGATGTACGGACAATGGGGTTCTGCTCTTCTGGCTAGCTACCGGTATCTACCGAGCGAGCTGGCTGGTCGAATGAAACGTTGTGGGAATGCCGAAGAACCAGCGCCGCGGGGACTTTCAGGTTATCCAATGTCTCGTGGCATTTCTCAATGAAGTGGGGGTCTAACCAGGATTGTAGAGTAGCCGTCAAGCTGTCGACATGGTTGGCACAAGCAGCAGTGTAGATTGCAAGGGCACCGGATGGACGATTGCTTGGAACATCAAACGAGAGGCCTCGTTCAAAGGCATACTCCATGCGCTTCAACAGAGCCCGACCCTTGGTATTGTTTGGTAGCATGGTAACATGGCTCAAGCGTGCAAAGGGAGCACCTGGCTGCTGATGGTGAGGGCCAAGGACACCACCATTGATGCTGTAGGTGACTTGGATCGATCCTACACCGGCATGGCCACTGCAATCGCTACAACATGTACCGGTAGAAACAGAGATGGACATGGTACCAGAAGGACTCCTGCCTCTGTTGGGCTCTTCGTGAGAAACGCTGCAGAGATGGCACATTGTATCGATGCAATCCTTGTGAAATCGGTGGCGACAGACATTCATTTCCACAACATCCTTCGAGTAAACTTCGAAACAAATGGGGCATTCGTCTTTACATGATATCAACTCTTCCGGTGGTACTGGATGGAAAGGATCCTCGTTTGTCTGAGGGATAGCTACGACATTGTAGTGCAAGGTTCCGATGGGTGTGATCGTTGGCTTTGGTGGAGGTTTGACCGTTGGCTTTGGCTTTGGTTTGACTGGTTTCTTGCGTGGCCATGGTAGCTTCTTGTCGTTGTCGACTGTCACTTGACTGGAATGTGCACTTCTTGACTCTTCATTGTCGTCCAACGTGATACTCTTTGCGAAATTTGCGTCTTGCTGCTCTTGTAACAATCTAGCATAGTCATCCTTGCCCAAAAGGCTTCTTGCAAGTCGTTGGTCACTCTCAACTTGTTTATGTTGTCTTTGACGGACCGACTGTTCTTCCTTGTCCATCAATTTGGCGAAAGCGGCATCCAATTCCACCATATCGTCGTCGTCGTCGTCGCTGTCATCTAGTGTCAAGTCAACGATGATGTCTTCGTCGTCCGAGAGGATTTCAATAATCTCGGGCTGTGGAGGGTTGATAACAGTAGCGTATGTCGCAGCAGCGGTGGCCATGGTCAAATCAAGAAAAGAGAAGTGAAGAAGAAAACTCAAAGAATGAATGTAGATGGCGGATGATGCGATTACTACTCTATGTACGTGTACGGCAGTAAAACTTGAATGGGTGATTGTCTTTTGGTTGGAAACATTATTCTTCCGCCGAGCTTTTCAAAAAAGTTTCGAAAACACTTCAAAATGTGAGGGGAGTTTCAAACTATTGATAATTCAACCTGGTGCGAAGGCAGCCTTGCCGCATTTCAGCCAAAACCTGCCACCATCCACTCAAGATGGAAACTGGAAGTGCCTTTTTCAACCCTCTAAAGCATGCAGTACCGCTGCAGAATCGAATGAATCACCATGGCAAAGAGCAACAGCAAGGAAAGGAAGGAAGAGAGCAAGGCACTGCCAGTGTCGACCTCCAAAAAGACAGCAACGCAACTGCGCAATGCCCGCAAGCGACGATCGAAACAAAAGACCAAGCCACAACAGTCGCCCACAACAACATCCGGTCAAGCTTCGGATCCTTCCGTTCAGTACCTGCACAACCCCAAGTTGGCTCCGTTGGTTCAAACCGCCAAACAATTCTTTGCGGACATTTATGCTGTACAATTTCCCATTTACCAAAAGGGTCCCAAAACAGGATGGAGGACAGTTTCCAAACTTCCTGTACGAACACAGCAAGGCAAAGTCAGTATTGGCATGTTCCAGAAACAATCGCATCGCATTAACACGCCTTCCGGGTCCAGTTGTTCTTTTTATGCATATCCAGCCCACCATCCATCAATTAACCAGGCATTGGTCAGCGTGGCACAGTTGTGTCAAGAATTGAATATTGATGTGTACAATGAACACGATGGAAGTGGGTTTCTCCGCTATGTTGCCATGAATGTAGAGCAAGCTACTGGAAAGGTACAGCTCACCCTCATTTGGAAGGATTCTCCCTATCAGCAAGAACTGGAGATTGGCAAGAAGAAGAAGAAGAAAAAGAAACGAAAGAAAAATGACAACACACCTTCAAAAACATCCTCTTCGGAAGGAAAGATTCAATTGGAACGGCTGATTTCTCATCTACTCCACAAAATGGCACCATCTCAGGAGGAGAAAGACAAATCGTCATCTTGGCAATTGCACAGCTTGTGGGTGCACTTCAATGCTGCTTGGAAGCATTCCAATGCCATTTTTGACATTCACAGCACGTCTCCTGATGCATGGCTTCATGTTTACGGACCCAAGACAATTCCCGAGCATCTGACGCTGTCATCATCAACATTGACCGTCGCCAAGAAACCTACCTTGCACTTTGGCCCAAACGTATTTCGACAAGCCAACCTGGGTGCTTTTGCACACATTGTAGACGCCATTCGACAAAGGATTGGACAAGAACGCAACAACGAAATGCAATGCGTGGAACTCTACGGGGGTGTTGGCACTATTGGGTTGAATCTCTTGGATTTGCCCAACATCAAGTCCTTGGTCTGTTCGGATGAGAATACCCACAATCAAGATTGTTTTGCGAAAGGGTTGGCTTCATTAGAGTCTTCCTCCGCGAAGGCAACCTACGTTCCACTCAATGCCACCGACATGGTCAAGGATTCACGACGGTTTCTGCAGGACATGTGTCATGTCCTCATTGTGGACCCGCCACGCAAGGGATTAGATGAGCCAGTTGTGGAGGCACTGATATCCAGCAGTCATAAGATACAATTGCTGGTCTATGTGAGCTGTGGCTTTGAGGCGTTCCAGCGAGACTACAAGAGCCTCACAGACAAGGAACAGTGGAAACTGGAGCACGCCGAGGGGCACATTCTTTTCCCTGGTAGTAATGCCATCGAGACGTTGGCCTTCTTCACGCACAAGTCTTCCAAGAAGAGATAGATAATCCTTAAGAGAGGTGGTTTTCTCCTTTTGACAATTATCGTTGTGCACAGGTCAGGGACGGCTGCTACCCAGAACAGACCTACCAGTACCCACATACATGTAGAAGGGTCCCAGCGACTCTATGGCTGGGTTGGCGCTCCTGCTTTCTCGAGGCCAGCCGAAAAACTGAGATGATCTCAAGTGAAAGCAGACAATCTCTTTTCCCAGTTGTGATGAGCTCTTATATGAACTGAGGCCAGGACTCGTGTTGAGGTTCAAACGAAGTCGCTCTCCTCTTCTCTCGCCATATTCTAGATTGCGCCTTTGCGGGACTGGCAGCAGTGCAAATAAAAAGACGCGAAGTCCTGGAAGCTGCAACCATACTAGTAGTATGGTGTTGAATTCTCCAGCCACTACTTGGTGCCTACACCCCGACAGATTCGATTTGTTCTCTCCTTTGCGAGTCAGAGAGCTGTCAGTAGTGTAAATTGTCATTTAGAGTATGCTTAGATTTCCATATTAGTAATCGTCTGGGTTTCCACCAAGGAAACTCCTTCGATCGCCTTGATCTTCTCTAGGAACTCAGCCTCGGGAGGGTGTCCACTCTCTTCCCAGGGTCCATAAACCTCCAATGGAACGGTTGTCATGAGCTTGAAATCAAGGCAGGCTCCACAGACAAGTCTGTTAACAGTCACGCCATCAAGCTTCTTAAGCTCGGGAAGATACTCGTCAACAACCTTGGAAATAGCTTCCAAAGATTCCGAGTCGGTCTTGTCTCCAGTGTACTTGCATCGCCATTCACGGCAGACACGGTCAAACGACATGGCTCCATTGGCAAGATCCACATTCAAGGCCATGGAAGGACGAGCAGCAGGAGTGCTAGGGGCAAATGCCTGGTAACGAAAGGACGTTACGCGCAAAATTAGATTCGATTAAAAAAGGTATCCAAGAAGACAATTCAAGCATCCTCCTGACACTCGAACTTACCGATGCCGAGGCGAAAAGAGCGGTGAGGATAGCAAAGGTCTTCATGGTGATTTTCAGTTGCAAGCCAAGAAAGTTTATGATAAGGATCCTATGGATCTTGCAACGAAAGATTGGCTGATGCAATCCTATTGTACAGCTGTAGTCATGTCGGTGCATGCCAACGGGACGATCTTCGTGCGTATCTTTGGCGTCAACTCCTGGATAAAGAGGCGGTGACGTGTTCGAACAGTGATTGACTTTGATGTGGAGTCCTGAATGAATGATGAATCGAATCGAATCCCCCATTCGATGGTACCAGGTACCAGTACCGGTAGTCCACCGCCACTGTACTGTTGGTTTTTATGATTTTTAAATTTGGACGAGTGTTCCTTGCCAATGGTCAGCCAAACAGGTCCATGATGTTGCATTGTGAGAGTCGAGTCGTCGAGTCAGCCCGCGAATACCCAGACACGGTACCATGTACCTTACTGCTGCCAGAGGCCTAGCCGCTCTAGCGTATCCACCGGTAGACCAGAACGGCAACTTTGCCTACCGAGTAGAGAAGACATCCTGGATCTGCGATTTCGGTTGGCTTATTATTGCTGTTGGTGCGCACCATCGAATGCTGACTGGGAAGGACAATGCTCTCCTCATCTTGGAATCCAAAGCTTCTCTTGCTAGAGACACTAGTAGTAATGCTACCGCCAAGGGGAGGGGCTGGAACCATTTTGCCGCCAGCATGATGAGCTGAAACACAGGCCAAGCTGCTTGCCAGAGTCGAGTCGGAGCAGAAGAGGGCTTTATGTCACCTGCTGCAACTGAAGCTGCCTTGTGAATGTTAAACGTTTTGACCAGACCTTGAATATCATCACGGATACGATCCAAATCCTCTTCGTCCTTCATGCCAAAGACAAATGCTTCTTGTCCCTCTCGCGCCATGATGAATTTTAACAAGAACTCTTCCTTGCCATCACTCGCAGCAGAAGACTTCATGGCGCCCGTGTGCAGCTTGCCAATGCCGTTCCAGGGAATGTCAGCCTTGCGTTCACCCGAGGCCGCAAAGTAGGTCATGTTGTGACTCTGGAGCAACAGCATGCCTTGAAACGACACGTTCAAGTACATGATATTCACGGTATCTTTGCTTGACATTTTGTTGGATATAGTGAGTGGTTTGTGATATTGCGTGTGCTTTATAGTGCACGATTGTGCTGCTGGATGAGCAGGAAGAGCAATTGTGAGAATCTCACTGCAGTATTCTGTATTTAGTATTTGATGCGCGATATCTTCTTTGCCTTTGACTGAAGGGTATCTTTCGTATGAAAGACGATAGCTTAAGTTGTGGTTACGAGTCTGCCACTCGGATGGTCGCAACCACAAGCGATGACAGATGCATCTTCAATTGAGTTGGAGGGAGGCGCACTTTGGCTCCATCAGATAAATGAGGTAACGGCTAAAGAGGTCGGCAAAGCTGGCAAGCTGGCACCATACCGGTAGTGGAGTCAGCGGACTGTTGTGACGCCATCAAGCGCCATCATAATGCGATCAGCGGACCACTTGTCACAACCATGTTCAGGTAAACTTAAATCATAACCAAAGGTCTGAAAGCAATGGTACACATATATTCCAAGTTGCGCCTGACTACTATGCGACCTTGAACCTTTTCTTAGGCACATCGTCGGGAAAAGTATTTGGATACACAATAGAAATTTCACGGGAGGCAAGAGCCTCCCATTCTGTGTCGAAGTCCGTGATCTGTTGGGCATGAGTGGGAAATACATTGATTGATTCCCAGTTTTTGCATCGAGCATATCCTGTAAGATTGTAGCTTCCAGATGCAGTATGCGACGAAGTGATGACAACTTTCTCGTGCATCGAAGACAAACCGTGAGGGCAGCAGTGCCGGTTGGACTGATGGTCAGTGTCAGCAACTCGAAATTCCAGGTGCCGAAATAGGACAGAACTGTTTGCTCTGCGGTAGAAGTACATAAACTTATTGATCTGGTTGGCTGTATACTTTTTGGCACGTTCGCCCCTTTCTTCTTTTGCAGCAGCTTCTTCAACCACAACGCGCGGGGCATCGTCGACAATGATACGGATCTCGCGGTAGGGGCCGTAGTGGAATAACAGATCAATGGCAAAGAAATCCGTGAGGAGATAACACTTGACACGTATTGTCGATCCTTCTTCAGAATCATCAATCATCTTCGCAATAGCACGGAGCGGGTGATTGGGGGGGATATCAGAAGGCGAATGATCAAACGCACGAGGGAAAGCTCGGTAATATCCCAACTGCATGTCAACACTCTCCGTCAGTTTTGCGTTGCGAATGTCGCACCAGCCATTTCCAAAGCAATCGCTTGGTACATCCACACAGTCAGGATCTACTTCACCAGGGATAAGCTCATCACCTCTATGAAGTTCTTCATAGCCAGACTTGTCGATTTCGGCGTAGTTAGGAGCATCCGCCATGGTGTTTTCTTCTTTCCAGTGCCCTCTCTCTCCATGAATTTTTTTTAAGCTAGAAGTTAAAAGGATGGGCCCCCGCAGGGGGCCTAGAAGTTAAAAGATTGGGCCCTTGGGGCCCAACCACCAAGCTAGCTAGCTAACGGGAGTGGAACACATGGCCTTCTGGCTGGCCCTCAAAGCACTGCAGCAGAACCTCTTTCATCTTTGGCTTTGTCTTTTGGATGGACTTCCCAGGACCCTGGCCCAATTCTTCATGTCTGCGAAGCTTGTGGAGGAGTCCAACAGCTTGGCTTTGGTCAGACCGCCTTGCTTCGGAGCAGCCTTTCTCTTTCCAGCGGCATGTTGATTGATGGCGGCCATCTGAACCAGCTTACCCCCCTCTCTGAGCAAAGCTTTGGCATGCTGGGGCCTCAGCCTACCCCTGAGACCAGCGTTGCCCTGCCCCATCATGTTGAAGTGCATTCGATCGAATGATTCGGCAGCGAGCTCGGCAACGTTGTCCGTGTTGGCGGCGCTACCATAGTGTTCCATTGCATGTCTGACTGAGTTATGGAAGACTTCTTCCTGCTTGGTACTCAGTTTTTTGAAGAATCTAACCACTGGTTGACAACACTGAGCTGCTGATAGAGGGACATGGGAAATAGAGCTGCAGATGCCGATCCAATTTTCCGGCAACTAGAGGAGTCCTGGTTTTCGCAGAGGCACGCCCTGTCTTGCCAGCAGCCGCCAAGAACACCATGCCGTTGTCGTCCACCTTGGGGAAGCGTCCTCCACTGGACGAGTACATGCTCCGGATATAGTGGTCGATACAAGCCGGAGCCTCTTTCTTACTCGCACTCATCGTCGTCCTGGATTGCGATGCAATGAATACAGCTTCCTCGGATTGCGATGAAAGCTCTGCGAAGTACCTCTGCTGCTACTGAATACAGACGGGATGACCTCGGTTTTATTGTCTTGCTTCACTATCTCGCTCAAATTCGAAATCCTCTGGATGCATGCTCGGTCGGTCTTTGGAAAACAACACGAAAACAACACGAAACAACACAACGAGAGACTGATCCAGCTGACACAGAGATGCGAAATATTGAATTGTGTGCGACTGACGTCGCTGACGTCACTGACGTCACAGCCGATCGAACGATTCTGATTGGCTAATCGCCTCTACAGTGATTCTACAGCGGTAGTGTACGGATTGGGCCGACGTCGGTACAGCGGTCCCACTGTACTTTCTGCGATGAAATTAGCAATAGGAGCCTCTATGGGTGCGCCACAGCTGTGCTGGTTTAGTCGGATGGAAACAATGCTTTTCATCGTGTACAGTCAATCAGTACACACAGCATTGCAGCCATGTGACAATTTGTATATAGCTGAGGCATGCCTATGTGTTGCAGAGCATACATAGCCTTCAGCCTAGATACATTGGAATGTTCCAGACCAACAGTCCTCTCCTAGGATCTCCAACTGTGGATATCCTCTCCAAAAGAGCCAGTTCTGTCAACTGGAGTGAAATCGTGGTAATGGTGTTTTTAGCTTATAGTAAGAAAGATAGTAATGAAAGAGTAACCCCTGAGACCCAGTAGCACCGTCAGCCCTGCAGTAGATAGATTCCTGTGTGGTATGTGCTAGGGCAATGTAACCAGCTCCCCAAGTACTCTGAAGCAGTGATTGGGTAGCATTGAACCAGCTCTCTTTGAGCTGGCCTTTCAGCCAGTGGAGGAGATCTCCATCACTAGAGATCTCCCTCCCAGCTCTTGTGTTCCTACAACTGAGTTCCCTGACGGAGATTCATAGGATTAACATAGTCGCATAGCAAGCGACACAAGAGTGGCTCTTCAGTGTGGAAGAAGAGTGGAAGAGTGGAAGCCTCGAACGAAAACAAGGAAATCGACAAGGACATCGCGATCGTGCCAAAAACGAAAACGACAGCGATTACGGTCAAACCAAAACAGTCACCTACCAACCAAGGGGCGCTCGACAAGATACCATTGTTGCCGTCTTGTTAATCGCCTTGGTTGCGGCGGCCGATAGTGGAAGGCAACAGCTTCATCATTGTCGATCCTTTCCGTACGGAAGATAGCGATTTCTCCAGTCGTGCATCGAAGGTACTAGCCACCGAACCGGTACTCACAAGGGACTCACAAAAGACGTACCTATTCTGAGTGACGTTTGTTCCGAAAGCAAGACGAGGCTGTTGTTCCACAGCGATCCTCACATTTTTGATCGAAACACGAACTTTGGCTTGACTCGATCATCGAAGGAACCCGGAAAGCCTCGAAGATCCGTGGCTCCGTACTGATCGATCCTCTGTTACGAGTTGACTCCAGGAGGTACTCGAGACAACACGAAGGCACCTTTCGATCTATTAACAAGGTACCCAAGGATAGTAGTGGATAGAGGAGGTCCTGCTTAGTCATCTACTAGCAGTGCAACCCCTCAAATCCTCATTTTGGATTTTCTGTGATATTGTTTGTGAGGCACCTCTCCAGCCACACTTACTCAGTCACCAACACCAACAATACTCATCCAACCGGTACCCTCCCAAGGAACAGGCAACACCACTACACTACCACTACACTACTGCACTGTCTAGCCAGCGCACCAATCATCATGGGTCGCAAGAAGAAGAAGCAACAGCAGGGAATGGATGCCAGTGACACCATATCACTAGCAGCATCCAATGACACCAACACACAGGACAACACCAACAGATCCACTACTGCAGAGGAACCAGCTCCAGCTCCAGCTCCAGCTCCAGCTCCTCCTGTCAGAACACATGTGGATCCCCCAGGCTGTTTGTTACCACCACACCACAGCGCCATCCCCAGCTTGGCTTCCTCCAATCTAATCAACCATGACACAACAACAATGATCAGCCAACCTTTTGAGCAGCTGACATTGGCATTGACAGAGGCATCAAAGCAAGTTGCCCTTGATTCCTTCAATGCATCCTCTTCCCTCCATGGCATACTAT